TGTTTTAATAAATCGACCCAAAGAAACAATAGTTGGAAATACAGTAACTTGCCCAGTGTTTGTCATCTGCATAAGCCCATAAGACATAGATGAAAGATTAGAGGCCAAAAGAAAAACAAAATTGAGCCTCAGCTCTATCTCAGTGTGAAAGGGAGATACGTAAAATATTTAATGGTTCGTATACATTTTATCACTAGTAATGTAAACCAGGTCAGAACTGCCAAAGCAAAGAATAACTTTTTACTTAATTTGTATAGGTATTTCTTCAATATTCTATTTTGGATAAGTTATGAAAGCCAGATAAATTTATGCAATCAGAAAAATAAAAAATTGATGAATAGAATTCCCCCAGCCACATGCTTCTCTGGCCTCATCTGCTTGGCCCTCTGTCCGGAACTGCTGCTTCTGGGAGGCTGATCCATTCTAGTCCCAATGCCGTCCATGCCCTTGTGCCCTTCAATAGATTTCCCATCCCTGGGATAGTCTTCTCATCCTAATTCCTGCTTGGATAAAGGCATCATCTATTCTGTGTTCTTACCTTGACTATCCACTTGCTGACAAATTAATGACTCCCTTTTTCGTCTGTGCTGTGTGTGTGCACGTGTGTGTGTGTGTGTGTGTGCATCACTATCAGAATATTCCAAAGATTTTACTCTTCCAAATTAATGCAGTAGAACTTTGGTGGTTGTGAATATTCTATACATATTGATCTTGGCATACTAGTTAGTGCCTTGCACAGTGCTTGATATAAAGACACATAATAGGAATTTGTTGGACTGGCCTACATGAAGGGATAGGTATTTTGTTTTTTGGGAGGGTGGGGAATAGGTATTTCTGACTTAAAGTCACTGATTGAAGATCTCCTACGGGCACCTGGGTGGCTCAGTTCGTTAAAAGTCCAACTCAATTCCTGCAATGGCTTCACTGTGCTGAGAGTGGAGCCATCTTGAGAAGCTTTCACTTACACGCTTGCTCTCTCCCCCACCCCCCGCTCTTCTCCCCCACTCACTCATACTCTCTTCCTCTCAAAAAAAGAAAAAAGAAAAAAAGAAATTAAAAGAGAAAGTATTCTAATATCTATTTTTTTGTTTCTTTGTTTTTATGGTGTAGCATCTAGCATTCTTTTTTCTTTCTCTGAAGAAAAGTCCTTTAAGCCTATGGGTTCTAAATTACAAATCTGGTTGAAAGAACATGTGGCACTCCCAGCCAAGTATACGGATAAAAGTAACATTCATCCTGCTTTACTGAAGCTTAGATCAGTAGATTATCATTCTGGATTTGCCACCTTCCTTCTGCTTTAAAACAATAAAGTGTTTAAGTTTTCTGTAAGAAGCATTCACATAGACTTTAAGAGCTGTCATATATGCATACATAAGCACACAGGGAATGATTTGAGAGACAACTCCATAAGCAGTTTGAGGAATCTGTATTGTTGCTGAAGTTTATGAAGATTTTTTTTTCATGAAAACAAATCTTCATTAAAGACAGGTTAACAGATTGCTCAAAGCAAATATTGCAGAGAGAAAGCTACTGACCTATCCACATAAGATTTATTTTGAAGAGCGGTTCTCCAAGGCAAATTGGTATTCAGAAATGTATGGGGATAAAATTTTTGGAATGTGTGTGTGTGTATGCGGGGGGAAGCAGTAATGTAAGGACTAGGAAACATTATTGACCTGTAGAGGGTGGCAACCAGGGAAGATAACTATCTCCACAGTAAAGACAGTCCTTTACAAAAAACATTTGTCCCAGGCACCGTGCTAATAATGTTCCCTTAAGAACTACAATGAGGTGTGGCCATAGCTAGGTGCCTACTGGACCTGACACAATAAAAATAGGTGCTGATAAGGAAAAAGCTAGAATGAATGGCAGTGTCTCAACAGCATGACTTAAGTCAACCAGCCCTAAGATGTGGTTCATGTTCAAGGAAGCTCTCAAAAGAGTAGGAATGCAGGAAAGGGAGGGAGGGAGGGAAGGGAGAGGAAGAAAGAAAGAGAAGGAAGAGAAGGAATGAATCTGAATCATGGACATAATCCATTTTACTAGAAATTTCTCTATTGAAAGGAGCTCATCTTTTATTTTGAGAGAGAGAAGAGCAGAGAGAGAGAGAGAGAGAAAGAATAGCAAGCAGGCTCCGTGCTGTGACTGCAGGGTCCAATGCAGGGCTCGAATGCACAAATCATGAGATCATGACCTGAGCTGAAATCAAAAGTCAGACACTCAACTGACTGAGCCACCCAGGCTCAGTATATTTTTGAGAGAGAGAGAGAGGGAGCATACAAGTAGGGGAGGGGCAAAGGCAGAAGGAGACAGAAGATCCAAGCAAGCTCAGTGCTGTAGCGCACGGCCTCAGGTGGGGCTGAAACTGTCCAGCCACGATATCAAGACTTGATCTGAAATCGGACGCTTCACTGACTAAGACACCCAGGTGCCCTAAAAGCACATGTTTTTGGTTTCAATTGCTCAAACATCCATCTTGCTTAAAAAACAAAAACAAAAACAAAAAAAACTAATATATGTCTTACACCTTACCAAAAAAATCTAGACCATTCATTCAGTAAATCTCTCTTAAGTGTATCCTTTCTTATGGGTTGCTATAGGCTTTGCTATTTCAGTGTCAAATGAAAACAGTCATGGTCAGTCCTCTTAAGTAGCTCACCATCTAGAGAGAGATCAGGTTCGAGAGTGTTCATCTTTCTTACAAAAATATTCCCATCTAGAAGACTGAGTAATATAAGAGATGTTTCCTTTGCATTTAAGTGGAAATGGAGTCAGAGTACCACAAATTTTAGGGCAAAAGCCATGGTTATGCTCACGGAGAAGGGGCCAGGAAGCAGGCGTACAAGACAAGATTTCTAGTTCCACGGCAGGGTAGATAGAAATGTGTACTTTGTGAGCTCATTCTTTATAAGCTGAGTTAAAAGACAAAAACCTTTGCTATGTAGTTCCAATTGCTTTGAACTATAGTTTTAAAATGAATTCAGCTAAGCTTTCTTGTCATCTCAGTTTTTAAAATTATTTGCTTTGCTTGCCAAGTAAAGCTGTCGTCCGAATCAAATAATAGAATAAGTTAAAAATGGGGAAATAGCAGGAGAGGTTACATCTGAATTATCCAGTTTGGTTTCGTATAATGGTCAATTTTCCTGGGTAATTGTCTATTTCTTTTACTTTGTTTCTGCCTAATAAGAGAGAATCCAGGGCCTTTACCTTCCACCTCTGTCCCCTTTCTCCACCCTGGCCAAACCATTTAAAGGCCATCTTTGGTCAGATCAGCAGGGTTTACAGGAAGTACAACCAATCCACAGAATGATGTGTGCGTGAAGACTGTCATTGCAAACTGCAAAATAATCGCCTGGGTAATTTTTAAAATAATATATTGACAGTTCAGTCACATCCTTACTTGTCAATACCTCTCCCCAGAGCAGGATGAATGTTTGCATATGAATGATGATCCTCCATTTCCTGGACAGGAGATGAGTTTGGTGCCCCAGAGTTGCCTGTGAGCTCAGTTAAAACTTCAGCTGTACTAAATCCCTAACTCAGCATTACAGAAAATAAGAAATGATCAGAAGATGTTGACTTTATGCTAAATTTATCAATCAAGTGAACTGAAGTGTTTCCAAGAAGAAGTCACACAGTTTCTTGGGTGTTTTTTTTTTTTTTTTTCGCTGCAAAATGTTCTTAAAATGTGGTCCTCACACTGGTGACCACAGCATCATTAAAAGAACTTGTTGGAATCGCAATTTTTTAAAAGTTTTTAAGTGTTTATGTATTTTTGAGACAGAGAGCATGTGTTGGGGAGGGGCAGAGAGAGAGAGACAGAATCAGAAGCAGGCTCCAGGCTCTGAGCTGTCAGCACAGAGCCCGCCTGGGGCTCAAACTTATGAACTGTTAGATCATGACCTGAGCAAAGTCAGACGCTTAACAAACTGAGTCACCCAGGCGCCCTGGAATTTCAAATTCTTGGCCCTCACCTTAAATATCAGAAACTCTGCGGTTAAGGCCCATCAGTCAAGCCTCTCAAATGATTCCGATGCATCTTAAAGAGACATAGGCATAGATTGTGTGATGGAATATGAATGTGCTTAAAAAGCTATAAAGACACACTTGTGATGCTACCAATGTATATGAGGGAAGCCCTGAAGGTAAACAATATAGAAAAATTGTGTTTTTTCCTGTGGTTCCTACTCTAGTGACTAGACTTTATCTTTCTAAAATGACAAACAGATGTCTTGGCAAAAGAAAACCGGTCTCATGAAGCTCTGATAAAAGATCACAGGAAATATTTGATTTGCTCCAAGTTTTGCACAACTATTTGCTCTAAAGGAAATTATATGTATTTTTTTCAGCCAAATAGTTTTCTTTCACTTGAGAAAAGATTTTTTTTTCAGGTAAGGAAGAAATGCTACCTCTCGCTCTCAAAAAAACACATCTCTACAAACACAGATACACATCTGTCCATAGAAAGGTACATGAGTAAATCACATGTAGGGTAGGTCTCTTTTCCATTGTTAAAATTAAAACTTAGTAGATAGATGGAACTTGAGGATGTTATGCTGACCGAAATAAGTCAGGCAGAGAAGGAGAAATACCATACGTTTGCACGTATAGGAGGATTAGGAGGAACTTAACGAAGGACCATGGGGGAGAAGAAGGGGGGAAATAGTGGGGGAGAGGGAGGGAGGCAAACCATGAGAGACTCTTGAATGCGGAGAAGAAACTGAGGGCAGATGGGGGGAGGGGAGGGAAAAGGGGGAGATGGGCATGGAGGAGGGCACTTGTGGGGATGAGCACTGGGTGTTATATGGAAACCAACTTGACAATAAACTATTAAAAAAAACCTTAGTGGATAGAATATATTGCTGTTTAATTAATGATACTTGTTTCCTTGCAAAGATTGAATTTTAATTACAAATTTCAGTTTGAGACATTCTGCCAAGGGGCCCTAGAGCCCTAGGCATTTCACGTATGATGAATATGTTTTTCCATGTGTCCAATAGAAGTATGGAACCGTGGGATAGGTTTCCTGATCAGCAGGATGACACTGATAGCTGCTCAGAATCTGTGAAGTTTGATGCCCGCTCCATGACCGCCTTGCTTCCTCTGAGTAAGTAGAAGTGAGGGGTGCCCATGGAGGATGTCCTTATAATTAGTGACACTATGTAAAACTATAGCCTTGTGGTTTGCCTTACATGGACATGAGTGCTAAAATAAGACTTAGTGGATAAGTAAATCTTCTCCTCTTTTGAGGCAGACGAGAAAGGAAGCTTAGGTTGGATTAAGGAAGCTTTGTTATAGGTTAAATTAGTCCACAGGGTTGATGGAGTCCTCCGATTGCCCAGCCACTGGACTAGGTCCTGGAAATGACAATACCCTTTGCACCATTCATTAATGTTTGAAAATCATGGGTGGTATGTACATACATCAGTTTCCTAGGGCTGCTGTAACCAGTCACCAGAAGTTGGGTGGCTTTGAATGTCATTTATTCTCTTAGTTCTGAATGCCAGAAATCTGAAGTCAAGATGTCAGCAGGCCGTGCTCTTTTTCATATCGCTTGCTAGCTTCTGCTTGCTTCTGCCAATACTTAGTGTTCCTTGCCTTATAACTGTGTCATTCCGATCCCTGCTTCCATCTTCACATGGTCTTCTTCCTGTTAATTTATGTGTCCTCTTCTCTTATAAGGACACCAAACACTGGCGAAGTGTCCACCTTAATCCAGTATGACCTCATGTTCACTTGATTATACCTGCAAAGACCCCGTTTTCAAATATGGTCACATTCACGGGCAACTAGTGTTAAGACTTCAACAGTAACTTTTGTGGGAGCAACCGGTTAGTCCGCAACAGTGCTGAAACAGATTTTTGCACAGGTCACAAGAGCTCAAAAGAATCCATATCCGGCTAGATCAGGACATGTTCTTTTAAGGCAGCAGGACACCGTTGTGTATAATTCTGGTGAGCTTTAAAGGTTGCAAACATTTCACCAAAAGGATTGGGTGGGTGAGAAGGATCCATAGAGAAATCTGAGTCACAGGAAGGAGCAGATGCAAGTGATAACATATATGAGTTCTATAGACAAATCTGAAATACAGACCATACCCCAGGGCATGACAGAAACTGCACCAGTGATGGGTGGGAGAAAGTGGCCCCATGAGGCAAAAGTAAAAAAGATCCTAGTAAAAGTTATTAAAGGTAGAGACATGGAGAGATTGAGGAGGGAGGACAAAGGCATTGGAGACAGTAAGCGACAGAAACTTCGGAGAGCTACTTAAAAGGCACAATGCAGGAGAGCCTGGGTGGCTCAGTCAGTTAAGCATCCAACGTCGGCTCAGGTCATGATCTCACAGTTCATGGGTTCGAGCCCTGCATCGGGCTCTGTGTTGACAGCTCAGAGCCTGGAGCCTGCTTCAGATTCTGTGTCTCCCTCTCTCTCTGCCCCTCCCTTGCTCGCACTCTGTCTCTCTCTGTCTCAAAAATAAATAAACAAAACAACAAAAAAAGTAAGCCTAGAGTTAAGAAAGAAAAAAAAAGCACAATACAATTTGATTGTAAATTGATGATGGGGAGATGATTGGGTTTCAGGCTCATTCAACCTGGCGAGGAGATAGCGAAATATCCCATGTTACTTGTACTGTGGGTTGTTCTTTTCCTTAGGTATTTCTTTTTGTAAGTTTATTTTTTTCTTATTTTTATTTCTTAAAATTTTCTCTAAGTTTCCTTTCAGTCTCTCATAGACGATTATCGAACAGTAGCTAAACTTGAAATTGAAAACAAAATCTGCTGATTTTTTATTGTGCAATGAAAACAGTAGCCACAGGAAATAATTTTTTAATGGACATTCTATTCACCTCATGAGAGAAAATGTCTTTATCTTCTACAAAGATTCCCCTCCCCATTGAGTCAACTTTTCCACAGTTAGTATCCACTATATGAATTGCTGTTCCAAATAAATGGATAATATGAAAATATTAATATTTTCTAAAACACCCAGAGGAGCAGCTTCACTGATACATTCCAGGATTTAGTCAAAATGTGAATAATTTTCTTTCATTTTTTCTTTTTTAATGTATTCAAATCCTAAGAAGTATCCTAGTACAAAATTATTGAGATGAAATTGGAAGAGAAAATTTGCATAATTATCATTGAAAACAAAGTCTCTTTTATCAGATTTAAGCTCTTAAAAAACTCATAATTATATAATTATTTGAGAAATCTTATTTTTACTCAGAATATATTCCCTGATGTACCAGAAGAATAACAATCAGTATGTTGGTATCAATGTTAAAATTTATCAACTAACTACTGCCCCCAAATGAGACAAATACAAGTCACGGACAACACGAACTCAGTCACAGATGTTTAGTCTCTGGAAAGTAAATCAGATGTTCCTAGTGATGCCTTATTGGCTTTTCCAGTGAGTATTCATTTTGCTTCCTGGTGAATCACAGGGCTCGATTTTTTTTGTCTCCCTTTTATTCCAACAGGCTTGGTAGTAATGATAGAATTGGAGATTGCAAAAATGTTGAGTAAGAAGAGTAATTTTCTAACAAGAGGTTGGTCTTTTTGTTTTTTTAGGTCCTAAAAATGGTCCTACCCTTCAAGAGAAACTGAAGTCTCTCAAAGCTGCACTGATTGCCCTTTATCTTCTTGTGTTTGTCGTTCTCATGCCTATCATCGGAATAATGGCAGGTACGGTATTCTAGAGTTCTGAAACTCAACAATGCATCTGGTGGATTTGTTCTTGTAGAAACAAAAGGAAGCATTCAGTCTTTTACATATGGGAGATTCATAAGGGAAACCTCCTATCACCAAGTATTCCTCAAATTCATAAATAAAAAGATTCTTCAAAGTTAATAAGTAAAAAAAATAGGGAATGGAAGATTAAGATAAAAATATAGGTCTATAGAGAGGAGAGGAGATGGACTCGATAGTTTCAAAAAATATGTTATCCTCTAGAGTTTTATGCACTTGTAGCAGTGGATCATACATTTTATGGTAAGTATTGCAGTTGCCAATGTGAATATATAAACAGGATCAGTAACATGAACATTGCCTAGAACAAAACAAGACAACAACAAAACAAGCCAGTTATTCAAGAAAAATCTCTTCTGTTCCTAGCATTGAGAGGAGAAAGACATATCCTTGTAAGTCTCCAAAGAGAGACCTTGTAAAATAATGGTCTACCCTTCAGTAAAATCTTTATGGTTTATATAGCCATATGTTTCATAAGTCTGTTATTTAAAATATTTCTAAAAACAACCTGATGGCATCCCCTCAAATGATTTAGAAAGAACACTTTACAGACACATATTTCTTTGGCAAGTCTAATTTGAGTTGGCGATAGATTTGAGGGTTTCCACAGGGGTGGATGGCCTGGTTATTACTGAGTCAGATCTGTAAATGTTATTCCCGTTTGTAGCCTTTTTTGATGCATTTGATTGGCATTTGAACTTCTGTGCTTTGTGGCTGTCCTCATCTCTATGACTGGCAAAATGTCTGGATGTAGGCTCTAACAAGCAGGGAGTAAGACACATTTTTATGTGCATACTACTCAGCTTAACAAGAAAGTGCTCCGAAACACAAGGCCAAACCTCTTTGGCTAAGAGGCAGCCTAAACGAATATTCTAAGACAGAGCCAAATTCTGCTAAGAAATGATGACAAAACTACAACAGTTGTGACAGTAACTGTCATTTGGGGGCATTACTACATTCAGACACACATTATCTTAATACATCTTTACCATTATCCTTGAGCAAACATATCCTTATCCTCATTATCCACAAGAAACTGAGAGTGTGCAACAGTAGAATGGGAGTTCCCACCCATGATTCTTGACTCCTAAACTCTATGGCCTACTATCTCCCAACATAATTAAATTTTTAGAACGAAATATGGCTAGCCAATTAAACACACACATGCACATGCACAGTATCCATAATTTTAGCTGAGAAAATACTTTTCCATAGGTAAATTTAATTAATTCCTATTTTGGCCATTTAAAATAAATAAAAACCAAAAACAACCACAAGAAACTAAACTGATCAACCATTCAAACCAACCGCAGCCTTCTACATAAAAGGACCTAATATGTCTCTCGTTAAACACCTGACTTCCTGATGAATTGAGATTATCTGTATGTTGTTTATGTATTGCTGATGTTCACTCAAAATGCACAATTGAAAGGTGCTTCATTGCTTGGAATCATTAGCTATAAGCCAATTAGAACTTGGGTAAATTTCATGACTTTTATACAAACTGTGGCCTAAAGAGTCAATGCTAGGTAAAGTAACTGCTCTCTAACAGGCATGTGCAGAATGGATCCATGAAGTCTGGAGACAATTCAGGGTTCTAACCAAGTTCAAACTCTTGGGGCTGTTAGAAAATACTACCAAGTTTCCACATTCATTGTTGGGTTGAAATGACTTATCTAAAGTACTTTGGTTTCCTGAAACTAAGCAGACAACTGTAAGATTGACAAGACGTCAAAAATGTTCAAATTTCATAAATTCACATTAACACTCAAATTCACCAGAGCTTGGATTAGATCTCACTGTTTCTATCGTACTTGAATAAACAATTGACAGTCCATTTTCAACTTTAATTAAGTTACAGATCAGAATATTTTCAAATAAAAAAGAAACCCACCCAAATGCAATACATTTCTCTTCTTGAGACAAAATAAATACAAATAAGAACAAAATATATCACTAAAAGATAGAAATTACTGTTTTGGAAAATAGGAATTGATGGATGAAATAAAATGTGCATAAAAACTCTTTTCAAATTTAAAATGTCTTACATGATGAAAGATACTTCTAAATGATAGAGTCTACTCCACATGCTATCATCTCTTCATGAAACTTCCAGATCCCTATCATAGTACAATGAAATAACATCTCTGGGCAATAAAATACAATCTAGGATTAATGTATATATAATTGTTGCTGAAATACTGAAGATTCTTTAGCTCAAAATAATACAAATTTTTGGCAGGAGAAGATATTAGCGACATGAAGGAGTAAATCTGATCTGTGAAATCAAATATCACTCTCTCCCTGGGGGTTTGCACGAGCCATAAAAGTTTGTCTCCTTTCAAATGTGAAACAGAAAAGTCACAAAATGTCATCTCCCCAATGATAATGAAAGAAATGAACATTTGAAAATCTGAACTCTGACATTCTTTACCTAGATTTATGATACAAAGTTAAACAGTTTTTTGAGAAGTTAGATCTAAATTAGTTTTCATACAGGATTTGGGAAAACAAGCAAATGTGTTTGGAAATCTATAAGCAAAATGTAGCCTTTATTGTCAAATTTATGTTGAGCTCGATGTCACATAGAAACCCTTGGTCACATGGTGTTTTGTCAGATCACGTCTTCCCTTTCCATACTGGAAAAAGATTTGCTTTCTCCAAATGAAATAGATATTATCTCCAATGAAATAAGAATTACATGGTGGAGGGGCACCTGGGTAGCTCAGTCAGTTAAGTGTCCGACTTCGGCTCAGGTCATGATCTCATGGTTTGTGGGTTTGAGCTCCGTGTCGAGCTCTGTGCTGACAGCCAGCTCAGAGCCTGGAGCTAGTTTCAGATTCTGTGTCCCCCTCTCTCTCTGACCCTCCCCTGCTCACGCGCTTGCTAGTGCACACTCTCTCTCTCAAATACATAAAGCAGTAAAAAAATTTTTAAAAAGAATTACATGGTGGAGCATTAGACCAGTATGCTGAGTAAAATAAAGTACAGAAACTACAAGGCTCATTGCAACACCCCACTTCCCCCCATGTTTTTATGTTAAACAATATTAATTCCCCCATCAATATTTTCAATATTATGCAGACAGATACATAAGTCACAGATTTGGAATCCAAAATATGATAACAAAAAAGCTCAAAGTTAACAAATGCTTATTATATGCCAGGAAATAGTATAAGTACATATATTAGCTCATTTAATTATGTGAACACGGACTGGTCGTATCCTATCACACAGATAGTAAAACAGAAGCACTGGCAGAATAACTTCCCAGCTAAGTTCCCAGATAACTTCCCAAATAAGATCACAGATTAAAAAGAAAAGAACAAGAGTTGCTAACCCAGGCAATTCTACTCTAGAAACTGGATTCTTAAAAATGTGGGGTTTTTTTGTTTTTTTACATTTATTTAGTTTAGAGAGAGAGTAAGACAGAGTGTGAGCAGAGGAGGGGCAGAGAGAGAAGGAGACACAGAATCTGAAGCAGCCTCCAGGCTCTGAGCAAACATTCAGCACAGAGCCTGATGTGGGGCTCAAACCCACGAACCATGAGATCATGGCCTGAGCCGAAGTCAGACATTTAACCGACTGAGCCACCCCGGCGCCCCTAGGAACTGGATTCTTAACTGCTACCTAAAAAAGCAATAATCATTATGAAAGGAAAATTTTTTTTTTTAATTTTTTTTTTTTTAATGTTTTATTTTATTTCTAGGAGAGAGAGAGACAGACAGCGTGAGCAGAGGAGGGTCAGAGAGAGAGGGAGTCACAGACTGAAACAGGCTCCAGGCTCTGAGCTGGCAGTCAGCACAGAGCCCGACGCGGGGCTCGAACCCACGAACCGCGAGATCATGCCCTAAGCGAAAGTCGGACGCTTAACCGACTAAGCCACCCAGGCGCCCCATATGAAAGGAAAATTTTTAAGGGACATCTTTGAACTAGTTTTGTGAAAACTGTTAGTGGGGTCTCTATTACAGTCTAAATCCCATCACAGTTTTATTGTCCTGGAGTTGCTCTGACAATGCTTTGTACATAGAAGGTGCTTAGGAAATAAATCAGAGGATTAAATGCATGATTGAGGCCGTTGGTCCAGAGTTTGTTCCCCACACTTCATGTAATAAATGTGATGAGATCCAACTAAGAAATATACTTTTTTGTCCACCTTCTTGATAAATTAAGTATAAAATAACGCACACTTTGTGGGGTCATAACAAAATGTAGTCGGACATTTCATTCATTCAAATAAGCTAATTTTGAAGAGAATATAACTAGGAAGATACAATGTGGTTTTTAAAATTGGGATTGGGAGACTTGGGTGTTGGTGTAGGTTTAGTGTCCAACTCTTGATTTCAGCTCAGGTTGATCCCAGAGTCATGGAATCGAGCCCTGTGTCGGGCTCTGCACTGAGCATGCAGCCTGCTTAAGATTCTGTCTCTCCCTCTGCCTCACTTGTGTGCTCTCACTCTCTCTCTCTAAATACTAAATTATATACACTTCTAAAACTTGGAATTTAATTGCAGATACAGGTGCATACCTATTACTAATAATAGCTACAATAGCAATCATTATCAAACAGCTTCTTTAAAAATAGTGAAGGTAGTCTCTAACTAAGATCATATCTTGCATGTTTAAGTCACTTTAATTTGAATTTTCATATAGGCCATCTATGTGCTATGGTATTTACACACCTTATTTCTTCTCTTCTCCACACCACTTTGAAGTGGTTACTACTTTTCAATCTTTGAGGAACTTAAGCAAGAAGAGAGTTTTCCCAGAGTGCCTAAGCTAGTCATTGAGGAATGGAGCTAGATTCTAGAATCAGGCAGCTTGTTCCTGGGTAAATACCAGCCTCTCATTTGTTTACCAAGTACCCTTGATCTCAAAGTGGAACTAGTGATCTTCTACATGTTATCTCACTTAATTCTCCAAAACCTCTGAGGCTAATCCTATTGCCATATCATTGTTACTAAGAAAACTGACATACCAGGTATAGCTATTTATGTAGATACATGTTTAAGCTGTATGAAGTTACTCTTTTTAATGCTTAGTAATGGCCAAATATGAAAAACCAAATGCATTCAAAATAACATGAAAGACTGATACACATGTAGATAAAATAATAAAATAGATATTATCTATAGGAAAAAAATCTTCTCACCCATTAGGGATAAAATGGTATTTAACATTTCCTTTATTATGTATCATTATGTATTATTTTTATCTGCAAAGCTAATGTTTACGCTTTTCACTATTTGAAGCTGTAAACATGTTGTTCTAGATCCTTTCAGAAGGATAATTTGCTTATTTCGACAACATATGCCAATTTGGAAATCCATATCCGCAGCTCTGTATATTTCCCAAATATCGTTTAATAGATTCTTTTTTTCTTTTTCAGGAAATAATTACTTAAAGGATTGTTTATCAAAGCATTGGATCTATTAGTAAAAACAGAACAAATGAAGTGGGGGGGGGTTATTAAACAAATCAGGTAGATCCATGCAGAGAATACAGTGTAGGTATTAAAATTATTTTTTGTAATAGTTGTATGCTAGTGAAAAAAGAGAGACAGACTTGGTATACACACACCAAAATATTAATTTAACTTAGGATAGTGAGATTAGTGGTCAATTATTATTCTTCGTTTCCTAGCTTTCAAAATTTCTCTGTCCTGAATATGTATTTTATAATAAGTAAAGAGGAATCTTATAAAAACAATATTTTTTAAAGTGAAAAAAATTATTTGCCCAATTTCCTGTTCTACCAATAATAAACTAGGCCTGTATAAACCAAAAATGACAATTCTCTGCCAGCTTAAGTGATTGGATGAGGAAGATGAGCCAACAATTTGTTCATCCAGTGGATAACACGAATACTACTTTTACTACATATTGTTTTGTCACATCATTTATCTTCATAACTGCTAACATATTCATCATGCTTGCTTCTGATGTTGTGTTAAGCATTATCTCATTTTATCCTAACATACCTTGAGGGGTAGGATACAATGCACTTCACAGTCTGTAGATTTACTCTCACTGTCAAAGCCAAATGCAGTGGCTCAGAAGATGCATAGAAGCAGCAATTCAGAAAGAATGACTTGATCCTGGAATAAATTCTAAAGTAAAGTGGGAAAAGGATACTGTCTTCCTCTTGGCAATATGTGTAGTATGGTTCATACATTGTATATGTAAAATAAATACCTGGTTTAGTTAGGATAGCATGCAAAATGTTACAATGGAATGGAATGGTACAGAATGGAATGGTGTGTACATTTAAGTCTACAGGTCATGACTCTGTTTATTTTTACTTAAATATACAGCACAACTCCTGAAGTGGGAAATGAAGAATTGTACAGTTGGTTCAATTAATGGAAACGATATATCTCAAAGTCTCATAGGAAAAGCAAATGACAGCGAAGAAGAGATGAGATTTCGAGAAGGTGTTATGGAACAAATGAACAACATGGAGAAGAGAATCCAATTTCTTTCAGATACAGAAGCCAATCTCATAGATTCAGAGCATTTCCAAAATTTTAGTCTGGTGACTGATCAAAGATTCAGTGATGTTCTTCTCCAGCTGAGTACCTTGGTTTCCTCAGTTCAGGGACACGGAAATGCAGTAGATGAAATCTCCAAGTCATTAATCAGTCTGAATACCACATTGCTTGATTTGCAGCTCAATATTCAAACACTGAATGGCAAAGTCCAAGATAATACAATGAAACAGCAAGAGGTAAGAATTTTTGTATTAGAAGGTCACATGTCAGGGCTGAATCCATCTAGATCCTGTGTCCTCAGGCAGTTCAAGAAAACAAAATTTGCAAGCTCCAGTTCAACATCATCTGACTTACCCTGATTGCTCAGGTAATCCTACCAGAAGGTCTTACGTGAATTTACTTAGTGTCTTCTCCAGATTCCCAACAGAGGGTGAATTTTTTCCATTGAATATAGACTCTCTTAAGGTATTTTATTTTATAAATCCTGTTATACTACCTCTTGAGACTGTCTAAGCCAATTATAATTTTTAGATGATCTTAGTAGATACTCTATATTTGTAAATTTTACAACAGACCCAAGTTTCTTCATCATCAAAGAAATGGAAACCTCATGGATACATACAAAATCTAAATTTAAAAATAGTTTATTTTGTCATTCCCAAGAAGTATACATAAGTTGTAATGTGTAGAGATCAGTATAATTAGAGTTAAATTTGGAATGATATATACAGCATCTTATTTTTATCATAAGATCAAATACACAGGATAAGAGAACAAGACATGTTTAGACCAGCTTGTCAGCAAAAGCTTCTGTGTAAAGGGCCAGCTGTAAACATTTTAGTCTCTGGGGATTCTAAGATCTCTGTTGCACCTCTTCAAGTCTGCCATTCTTGTGCCAAAGCAGCCATAGACAGTATGTAGACCCACAAGGGAAGCCATGATCCAATTAGTCACTCTTCATGAAAACAGACTTTGGCCCTTGGATCATAGTATTCTCACCTCTTCTGTAGACTATTGGCATGGCCAACCTGCTGGATTACTCTGTATTGATGAGAAAGAAATTAAGAAGAAATCCCCTCATTTCAAAATTGTGCAGGTTTTTGTTAAATAATTGTCATTGCTCCATTCCATGAAAAAATAACCAGATGACTAAAATTTAACTACTCACGTGATAAAATAATCTTTACATCACAAAATTTCTAGGACCTAAGATCATAATTAATGTGAAGCCTTAATTATGGGAAATAAGAATTTTCACCCTTAGCGAAGCAATATTGGCATCTTGGTGTTAGATTTTATTTGAATAGAACCACATTTGATTAGTGAAGTTGTTTTCTGTATAGATAGTGTATTAACTGGAGTGATTTTTAAAAAATGGATACCACCTGTAGAGCAGCAGTAAGCCTCTAGAGTTGTAACATTAGAGGAAAACCAACTAAAATATTGACTAGAGAACAGACAAAACAGGTTAAGGAAGAATAGTCTACATGTTTATTTGTCAGGTATAATCATTCAGAACTTTTAAGTTTCACACGATCCTGATTTTAAGGTGTCAGAAGACAATGGCATGGCTCTATAAGTAGGGTGCCTTTGTTGGTAAACCTCACCCCAAACCCACCTTGGTACTCTGTTCTATGTCACCTCTCCCAAAATCTCACTGTGTTTCCCACACTGTTAATAAGTATGTAAGCATATCAGCTGCTTTGTCATATCAAGGACTTGGGCTACGAAGGGGGAGAGAGATTCACAAAGAAGCAGCTGTCCACAAGGTAGAAGAATATGGGAGACAGATGAGTAAAATTTCGGTGAAAAGACTAATAACTGATTAAGTTGGAGGGAAAGAGGAAAGAGAAGATATATTAGTTTATGTAAAAACAGAAGAGCAGTGAGGTAGGGCGAGGAGAGAGAGAGATGGGCCACATGGAAAGACAGGGTATATTCGGTACTGCTAGTGCCCCAGATTCAGTACAGACTATGGAATATCTACAGACTATTCCACGTCAGAAGTGGAAACCAAATTAGAAACCATTTGGAAGACAGTAGAAACCCTGAGCATGTTTGAAGTGGTAATCACTAGAAATAATCAAAATGGGATGATCAGTGAACTGGTTGAGTTTGGATAGATGGCACTTCTGTTTTGAACAGGGTCCCAGCTTTAGAAACAAGGGTTCAAGGGGGTAGAGGGACTTCCAAAGCTATTTTGGTAAGGCAGTACTCACTTGTAGAGATTTAGAAACTAGGTGAGTACTAGCGTATGTGCATGTATGTGTGTGTGTGTGCACACGTGTGCTCACTGAAAACAATATCCGGCCTCTCATCCCCATTGCTTAAACAATTTTATTCAGCTTTGAATCTTTAACTTAATGCAGGAATAAGTAAATTAAATGAATGCCCAAATCAGTAAATGCTGTTTGAGGGAAAGGCTTATAAGGGATACCAGCATGATGCCTATCAAAGGCAGACCAAACATCAGTTTGAGGGGGAAAAGAACACCAGCACAAAATGAGAGAGAGGTGGGAATTCATCATATCCATTGTTCATAGAAAGGGCTTTAAGACTGAGAAATTAAATGCCAGTTTCCAGCAGGGCCACTGATGGGAGAGTCTGGAAGGTGTGTATGGCCGCTGGACAGGCTTCTTTAAAACAATAAAAAACATTTTCCCTCTTCCCCATAAAAGCGATTGCAAGTGTAATCTGGCTAATTCGAGCACCATATGCAGTTTTCAGAAAAGGGAATAAAAAACTTCAGCTTTGTGTGTGAAGAACATGGGCAGGAACTAGGATTTTGGTAGCAAAGTCAGCTACCAGCCCCCCGACCTCTGCTCACTGGGTACCTGGAGCTGCTGACTTGTGCCCGCAGCCGTCTGCAGCCACCCAGATGCAGCTGCGCATAGTTTTTATGTTGCTGTGCTTTACGAACCTCCATGCTCACCATTCTACCTTATACATATTTTTTTCAGTTTGTATTTCTTTTATTATTGAAGCTCAGTTGGCATCCAATGCTGTGTCAGGTATATGGCATTGTGACTTGACAGTCTGTACGGTACTCAGTACTCACCACGAAAATGTAGTCACTGTCTGTCCACAAATGTTATCACAGTATTGTTGACTATATTCCCTTATTCCCTGTGTTGTACTTTTCATTATCATGACATATGTATTTTATGGGGAAAATGCCAAATAGTTGAGGAAGGAGGAGATAGAGGGTAGAGATAACAGAACAGGGTTTTGGATGGGGGAAGGCAGAGTTAGAATGGTATAATTTGATCAGCTTCTCTGCTTGAGTGTGGTGCCACGGAAGAGGCAAATCTAGGTATCTGTTCATTTACTTCAAAGGCTTTACACCCTGACTGCCTTGACCCACTCACCTCAACTTGTCAAATCAAGGCAAATGTAATTTTATCTTTGTACTCGGATTAGGGAGTGATATGTCCCTGGCTTATTTCCATATGCCAGTGGGAAATGAGCATCCATCGGCAGTTAGGCAGAGATCTCCTTAGAAAAGTCTAGAGCATACCATGAAGACAGAGGATGCGACCAAATTAGAATAGAGAGACAGAAATTGTAGCCAGATGGATGAGAAGGTTTGCTACCTCAGAAACAAACACCAACACTGAAAAGAAAACCAAGCCAACATCTTGAAAGGAAAAGTAATAAACATTATGAAAAACTTTATGACTATATATTTGACCTCCTCATAATTGAAAACCCAAATAAATAGAATGATGTGTTATGTATTTACTCTTCACTCTGCAAACTTAAATATGTTGAAGGTACCCAGCATATTTGGGTGCAAAAGTAGATACTGATATATGATGAATAAGATTTAAAAACTAGTGCCATATATTGGGGGACACTGTGGCAGTATTGAACAAAATGTTTAACATTTAGTGCCTCTGATCAGATCTACTCGCAGGAAGCTGTCCTACAGAAGTACTTGTACAAATATGTAAATATATATGTATATATGTGTGAGTGTGTGTGTGTGTGTGTGTGTGTGTAGTTCATTGCAACATTGCTTTAAAAAGTTAAAAAAAAGTATGCAGCTCAAAACTTGATCTCGAGGAATCTTGAATTACAAAAAATATATAAATATAATTCACTGAATTATTTAAAATAATGTAGTCTCTGAATATTTTAATAGGTAAATATCTATATTTTTGAGTGAAAAATGAAAGAATATTCTACAATGCAGTATATCTATTCTCTATCTCTGTACGCACCTATGTATATAAATGCACACAAAACATACATGTATTTGAAAACATACACTAATGATATCTCAAATACAGAGATAATAAAAATTGAGAGTAAGAAATTGTTAAAATTCTAGTTGAGATTTTACTGAATGTGAAAACCTATCGTGAGTGTTCATTACCACTGAGAATTACGACATTAAACTTTATTATTGCTACAAAGCAGCTTAATATATAAATTCTGTCAAATTCACAGAATTAGAATATGTAGGTATTCTAAGTACAGTACAAAGAAATTCCACTTCTGATACAAATCATACAACAAGTTTTTGTTTCATTTTTAGCATTTCCACATGTATACACGTAGGAATCAAAGCATGTCTTGGATATAGTCAACTAATTCTGCAAGGACAGAGGGTGTAAAAATTTAGCCATTCAGTTAAAAGAGGAAATGCTTCAAAGCCAAAAAATTACTGTTCTCTAATTTCTACATTCTCATTCCACAGTGTTCTATAGCACTATTTTTAAAAAAGCACCTGGCTTCCAGGGCTTCTTAAACTCACATATTTGGTAATTATGTATGCAGTAAAAATTGCGGGTGCTTGCTTATGTTTCACAGGACATGAATAGATTAGAGGAGCGTGTGTACAATGCATCAGCAGAAATTATGTCTATGAAAGAAAAACAAATGAATTTGGAACAGGAAATAAAAGGAGAAGTGAAACTACTGAATAATATCACTAATGATCTCAGACTGAAAGATTGGGAACACTCTCAGACGTTGAAAAATATCACTTTAATTCAAGGTAAAATATTTTCTCATTCCTCCAGAAACCAATGTATTAAAATGTACTGATATGTGCAGAGATTTGGTGTTTGAAATCCTATGGTATTAAATAGTTTTTGAGCATATGTTTACTACAAATATCCAAGGAAAGGAATTTTGAGATCTTACCGAGACATGGTCAGATATCAGCATCTTGGTATTCTTTAATTGAAAATGTTTTAAACAAAATGTCTTTAAGCTCTAATGAGTCATTATTCAAAATATCCCATATTAATGAAAATGAATACAAGTTTTCTGTAAGGCACCAAAGTCTCTCCCTGTCCACAAATCAAACTTGTTAATTCTGTTTTTCAAAACCTCCAATTCTCTCTTTCTCCTTACCTGGCTGTATACTTAATTAGAAAGGTTTTTGAACTCTACAAACTAACAGTAAATTTGTCAATTTCTTCTTTAATTCCTGTTGGCAAACCGTGGTAAATTGAATCTTACCGATTTTTAAATTAATATATACATAGTATATATTTTTACTCTAGATTTTATTTATATTTTGAATTTTTTTCCCCATGTTTTACTTTGTATTGGGTTCATCTTATATAAAGAACACTTTTTTAAAAAGATATTATTGGAGGAACACCTGGGTACCTCAGTTGGTTGAGCATCTGACTTCGGTTCAAGTCATGATCTTGTGGTCCCTGAGTGTGAGCCCCACCTACCCTGGGCTTGCTGCTGTCAGCGCGGATCCTGGGTCTTCTCTCCCTCCCTGCCCCTCCCCTGCTAGCGTACACATGCGTGCGTGTGTGTGCGCGCACATGCACGCAAGCTTGCTTTCTCTTCCCCTTTCTCAGATAAACTAAAAAAAAAAAAAAAAGATTTTACTTTTAAGTAATCTCTACACACTCAACGTGGGGCTGGGATCTCTACCGACTGAGCCAGCCAGGAGCCCCAGCATACATTTAAAAATATGCAGTCTAACCATTTCTTTTCACTGTACCTATTTCTCCCATCTTATTTTGTGCTGCTTTTGTCCAGTTCTGTGATTCTTTTGCTTCCCTTTCTTGTCTACTTTTAGATTGATTGAGATTTTTCTCATTGACTTTTTCTTTCTGCCAGAAGCACCAAGAAGATTTTGGAGACTTTTTTGGCTTTCCTTGCTGTTAAAAAAATGATTGCTCCAAATCTGCTGGTCATTCTTCTTGTCTCTATTACTTCCAGTTTCACTAATTGTGTTTCTTATATTGAGAATGGATTCATTTCACATTTGTTTTACTTCTCCAGTTTGTAGATTTAAGTCTATCACTTAATCATAGTTCAGGATCATTATCATCATCGGTCTCTTTCAATTCTGCTTCTTCACAGGCCTCTGTACTCTTTCTTGGGCAATTCTACTTCAATTCATGTTAGATCCTCTTATTCAAGTCTGTTAAACTCTATTTTGTGATTTTAACACTTTTATTTTATTAGTAACTAACAGAAATCCATGAAATTTTTATTACATAACACTAGGAAAATATTTTTAGTCTAATATCCAAGTATTTACAGGGGAAAAAATTAAAGCAAGCCCCAGAAGACTATCTATAGTATAAATTTTGTTTCTCATGCTCATAATTTAGCAAAAGTAAATTATGTATACTTATAGATGCATACATATGTAATGAGAATGGTAGCTTTTCAAGTGCAGGTAAGTGGGAACCACAAAATTCAAGTTAATGTTTAGCTCTGAAAAGGAAGAAGATGAATGAGATCAGGGAGCAATCAAATAGATACCTGTTTCTTGATTTTTATGCTGCAGGGCTATTCTCTTTATTATTGTGCTTTATAACTTACTTATATAGAACATGTTGCTTGCATTCTTTAATTATGACATTTTAACAGCTGATAAAGAAAAAATTTGCATTAGTCAACATTCCCTCTAACAATTAGATAACTCTACTTTGGATTTCAAATAAAGACCCTAAATTTTGTAAATCCAAAACCAAACTCTTGATTCTCGAGCGTCCCACCCCATACCCTCGGCCAGTCTGTTGAGCTCCTGGGCTTATGTGTCAGCTCCATCATTATCTAATGAGCTACTCACCCCAAGATCTCAGAAGCTGCCTTTGATGTCTTTCTGTCAGTTCCTACATCTGATCCATCTATAAGGCCTGTTAACTCTTGTTACATACACTATTGCAAAAAAAAAAAAACAAAAAACAAACAAACAAACAAAAAAACCCACTTCTCACTGTCTCCTCTGTCACTATTTTAATGCAAGTAACTATATTCGGCTGATGCACTACATCAGCTTCTCACTTGTTCTCCCTGATTCTACTTTTAATCCATCCTATATAACGTAGAGGCAAACAGGTGGTATAAAAAATGGTAGATATTTTAGCTCTCATGCAGAAGACCCACCAATATTTTCCACATTGATTTGGAATAAATCTCAATTCCTCCTTGGTCTCACATATGCACCTATTTACCTGCCCTCATTTTCCCATTTCCCCTCTGGCATTCCCTCTGTCTAGCTCGGAAGTCTGGAAGAAAGAAAGTGCTATTAAAAAGTGTAAGTTACAAAGGAGGAAGTGCTAGTTTCACTTCTTACTGTCCATCATGTGCTCTGCCCTCCTGCCCTGTCTCTTGAAACATTCTTCTCTTGGAACTCCACTCCTCAGAGCCACCCTAAAACACTTTTTTTAGGGGTAATGTTTTTCCTCCTCTATTCTCATTTTCACCCCCATCCCTTTATGTCATCATTTGCTTTAGATTCCTCATAATACTTACCACTGCATGAAATTGTTTCATCTCTGCATTTGCTTATTTGTTTAGGATACATCTTCTGTAATAGCTTGTGTGTTCCATGAGGTTGAGTGTTGCCTCTCTGGTTTATCTGTGCCTCCCCAGCACCTGTTACAGTGCTGGCTGTCCAGTGGGCGGGCAGTTATAGATGCGTTGAATAAATAAGTGAAACTAGCACTTTGTTCTCCTTAAGTCACACTTTGTAACAGCAGTGTCAATTTTCTAGATTTCCAACATGGAAATTTTAATTGTTTTTAGTCCTTCTGCCGAGTTTGCCATTAGTTCTTAGGTTCTATATTCTCTATCCCCTTGTTGCTTCTTTATATTCCTGGGTAAACTTTTCTTGACACTGCTCCACCAGACTATTGAAATAGTCTCCCAATCGTTTCCTTCCTCAATCTTTCAGACTAATCCTATCTGCACTCTTGTTAAAATGTCTTCCTGAAAAGAAACCCTCGATTATAAACTTGCCTATCACTTCCTCATAGGGAAGAGAAAGGAAGGGAAACATAATTGTGTTTCTTTCTGAAGACTTCAAGATCTTCTGTAATGTGTATTCAACCACTTTTAAATACCTGATTCTCTCCCTTTTCCCTTTGTGATTCCAAATACTTTGCTTGACTCAATGTATCATTCTGATATACCAAGTGCTTTTTATATCCTGACTCATGCCTTTGCCTTCGCTTGAAATATCTTCTCTTCTCTTTGTATCTGAAAATATCATGTCTTTCATCCAGTGTCCATCTAATATCTGAAGCCTTCTCTAGTTCCATCACAGTAATACTCTTTCTGACATCTTTTTTTTTTTTTTATGTTTGTTTACTTTTGAGACAGAGAGAAACAGAGCACAAGCAGGGGAGGGACAGAGAGGAGGGAGACCTAGAATCCGAAGCAGGCTCCAGGCTCTGAGCTGTTAGCACAGAGCTTGACACAGGGCGTGAACTCATAGACCATGAGGTCATGACCTGAGTGGAAGTCAGATGCTTAACCAACTGAGCCACCCAGGCACCCGGAACATTAGGTATTCTTTCATAAGAGAAATCTTCACATGATAGTCATATCTAAAATTACTTCACCTTGTCTTCTAATTCAGTGTTGCCTCTTCTTAGAAACAATACATTCCTTAAAATCTGGGGCTTTTCAAAAAATATTTTCTATGACCTGTAAACACAAGACAAATTTTTATTTTTTTAATTTTTTTAAAATGTTTTTTATTTATTTCTGAGAGAGAGAGAGAGAGAGAGAGACAGCATGAGCAGGGGAGGATCAGAGAGAGAGGGAGACACAGACTCTGAAGCAGGCTCCAGGCTCTGAGCTGTCAGCACAGAGCCCGACGTGGAGCTCGAACCCACCAACTGCAAGATCATGACCTGAGCCGAAGTCAGTCGCCCAACCGACTGAGCCACCCAGACGCCCCTTCACAAGACAAATTTTTAATAAATCCTTGTCGAACTGTAACCCAGGAAAAATGAATTGTACAAGTTAATGAGTGCTTTATCATTTGTGGATTGTAAGAATAGCCATCTTTGGGTCCCTCTTAATTACAACAACTGTTAAGTAATCATGAGATAAAAGAGACAAAGATATTTTAACACATTTATCAAGTAATTATAGTCATTAGAGTCTTAAGGATTAAGTGGAGTTTCATCATTGAAACACTGAAGTAGAGTTTGGTAGGGAGTGAGACATAGTATGATTTAAAGAAACAAAGTCAGTAAACATTCAAGGAGAGGAGTTAAGAGGAATGAAATACAATATGGCTCGCTGGTGAGAAAAGAGAATGTGATGTTTATTTGAAATGAAATTTTAAACAAATTTTCCTTCCAGGATCTAAAAGCATATATATATTCATATACATACATATACATATTCATATCAAGGAAGAAGAGGGGCGCCTGGGTGGCTCAGTCCCTTAAGTGTCTTAAGTTCAGCTTAGGTCATGATCTTGCAGTTTGTGAGTTCGAGCTTTGGATCAGGCCTGGATGAAGCTGGTGCCTGCTTCACATTCTGTGTCTCCCTCTCTCTCTGCCCCTGCCCCACTCATGCTCTGCCTCTCTCTCACAAAAATAAATAAACATTAAGATTTTTTTAAAAAGGGAAGACAGGGGCACCTGGGTGACTCAGTCGGTTAAGCGTCCGACTTTGGCTCAGGTCATGATCTCATGGTTCATGGGTTTGAGCCCCGCGTCGGGCTCTGTGCTGACAGCCAGCTCAGAGCCTGGAATTTGTTTCAGATTCTGTGTCTCCCTCTCTCTCTGACCTTCCCCTGCTCATGTTGTCTCTCTCTCACACAAACAAATAAAACATTAAACAAATTGAAAATAAACAAAAAGGGAAGAAGAATAAACAATTGAAAGAATTTAAATTTGGAGATGTGTACAACTAATTGTGATTTTAAAAAATGTGTCTTTCACCACTAGGTAAAGGAAAAATTCATCCCAGAAAAAATGGAAAAAAGAATTTAAATTTGGAGATGTGTACAACTAATTGTGATTTTAAAAAATGTGTCTTTTACCACTAGGTAAAGGAAAAATTCATCCCAGAAAAAAATGGAAAAAGAGCTGCCAAAAGCAAAGTCAATTAAATGTGGAGTAGGATAGCCTAGAATGTCAGGAAAGAAATGGTCTATTTCCGGTTTTACCCAACCAGCTTTTAAAACCTTGGACAATTTACTCTCTCTGACCCATCTATCTGTCAGTTCGACTAAGAAACTTCTGAGGGCTCTTCCAGATTAAAGATACCTAAATCAATGAGCATGGAAACTAAAAGAAAAAGAGAGAGGCAGGTTTAAGAACCAATAGCCAAGAAGATTTGGCAGATTTTTATGATGATCTAAATATAAGGCAAGATTAAGACTGAAGTAGAAAATGTATGATCATCATGAATAGGACACAGAGAAGCATAGCTCTGGAAATTTAGGCAGACATTATTAGTTCTTCGGTATCATCTGAGGATTTTAAATGATATGATATGGCTGGGTTTGCTTTTCCAGTGAACTGTATAATTTTGATCCCTGATATTTATGGTTACCAAGTATTCTAAACCAGTTCTTTTTTGTGGCTGTATAGAAATCTTAGTTTTTCTTTTAAAAAAAATCATAGGGAGGGAGCTAAGTAATAGATCTTGTATGTGTGTTTTATGGAGGGAATTGTCCATGGCAAAGTATTGCTGCAGTGCTTACGAATTATCCCTGTAACTTTACAGTTAGGAGGTATTAAATTTGAAGAAAAATAGTGCAAATTCTTATGCCTTCTTGAACTAGAGCAAATCATACATTTTAGGCAATAATGATCTAGTCTTGACATTTGTTAGCAAGGGAGATGACAGGTAGCATTATGTCCATTCATCGATGTACAGAGGTGGTTATTGATGGGATTATGGAATAGAATTTTGAGAGACTAAATAGTAATTCGGAACAAAGAAGGCAACTGCAAAGAAACTAAGTCTCCTGACTTTAAGTTCTTTATTCTTTTTTCCATAATGCGGCAGAATAGCTAGCTATATTTTTGTATAGTTGATGACGATACTATTTTTTAAAGCTGGAACTTAAAGAAATATGACAGTGAAATAGATACAATACATCCCGACCAGATTAAAAAAAAAAAAGTCTAGAATAGTCCAGCTGCAGGATGGATTAGGATGTGAGCTAAACCCCAGCAGGGATGGAGAGAAGAGACCACTCTTGTAGGGTAGCATGAGAGAGTTATTTTGACAGTGTTCTTAGAAATTCTACACACAAAGCTAAGAGAAAACTGGTATACGATCTGTATACTTCTTTCCCATCCAGAATATGTAAGAGACACTAAAAATATTTATTGAGATACTTTCCACGTTTCATTCTAGGCAGTGGAAGAGATAATAACAATGTATAAAAATGAAACATAATATAATAAGTGAGATTAATGTTACATGCAGAATAAAATAACAATAAAAATGTAACATCTCACACACCCAGGGAGAAGTCTTCAAGGCTTATTTGGTTTTCTCACTCTGGGATTCAGAATCCTGGTATCATTATTTTATATAAAAATACAGAGAGGGATTTTTGACTCAGAATTATAAAAAATAACATAGAAATAGTTGTCATAATTGAATTCATTCTCCATTAGAGCTCTATACAGTTACCTGCAAAATAATTGTAAGGATAGTGTTTGTGACAGAGTTCTGTTTCCTACTTGCTGAATAAATGGTGAACACTCTTTTTTTCTAATTTTTTTAAGTATTTATTCTTGAGAGAGAAACAGAACATGAGCAGCAGAGGGGCAGAGAGAGAGAGAGGGAGATGCAAAATACAAGGCAGGCTACAGGTTCTGTGTTGTGAGCACACATGGGGCTCAAACTCACACACCACAAGATCATGACCTGAGCCAAAGTCATATGCTTAACTGACTGAACCACCCAGATGCCCCAAGTGGTGCACATTCATAATTGTAGAGGCTAAGAGCCTAGATCTAGTCTGTGAGTCCCTTGTTTCTTGTCTCACACATTCCCCTTTTTCCTGAAATGTCTGTGTCTTGCTTTTGAGCTCTAATTTCTAAATCAAAATCTTTCCTTGTGCACTTTTTTTTTTTTAAATACCACCTTGAGTGCTGTGGATTTGCTTCCTTTCTCTTTGCTCAGCAAACTCCGGGCTGCAAATTGCATCTTTCCATCTTGCTTACCCTAACTTTGTCACTGCGTAGAGATGACTGAACCACATTTGTGTTCTTGGTGGTGGAGATATAACCCCTACTGTTGGGAAGGTCTGCCTTCTGCAAGCAATGGGGGATGCGTACAGATTCTCACTGATGTAAAACCATGATGTTCTTGTGCAACATGAAAATATGTGTGTCCAACAGTAAGCTATAGCTTAGGGGAATTTGTTTACGTGATTATGTGAAAAAAAAAATAGGCAGCCAAACCAAAGTGTACACACAGGAAATAAATATGAATGGTTATTCTCTCAAGATGATCGAATTATTGGGATAGCTCAGTTGGTTGAATGTCTGACTCGATATCGTCTCAGGTCATGATCTCATGGTTTGTGACATTGAGCCCCACATCAAGCTCTGTGCTGACAGTGTGGAACCTGCTTGGGATTCTCTTTCCCTCTCCAATGCTTTTGCTCTCTGTCTCTCAAAATAAATAAACATTTAAATAAAAAGATGATAGAATTACAAATTATATTTTTCCTAGGCGTTTATATTTCTTATGATCGGTAGCATTGCTTTCATAATGAAAATACAGTAAAATATTACTGCCCCATATTGCACATGAAGAGAAAGGGACAATGTGACACTGAAGAGAATATCTTGAAAATTGAGTAACCAGGGAAGAAAGTTTCTAAACTCTAAGTTGGACCTTGAAAAATAGAACAGACCAGGAAAATGGAGGGAAGAAGGGAAGAGACTTCAAAAGAAACAAAGGGAATGAACGGAATGTACTTTTTCATGAGACAATCTTTATTTATGTGGTCCTCTCTTCACATTCTTCAGGTATTTCATTTCCCACCTGAGTAAAATTTGTCAACAAGTGCTCGGAGGCTAAATATAGTTGTGTATCATCCTTGGGCTATGTATTTGGCTGAACCACAGTGATTGATAATGCCTCCTTTAGTTTTTTAATTATTTTTTAAAATGTTTATTTACTTATTTTGAGAGAGGGAGGGAGAGAGCGAGCAAGGGAGAGGGAGGATCCCAAGCAAGCTCCATAGTTAACACAGAGCCTGACATGGGGCTCGGTCTCACAACCATGAGACCGTGACCTGAGCTCAAATCAAGAGCTGAATGCTTACCCAACTGAGCCACCCAGGCTCCCCAAAAGTACCTCTTTTAAGACATCACTACTTATTATTCTGTGGTATATCCAAGTTTGTTTGTTCCTTCTGGAGTTGAAAGGAAGATTGTAGAATGTTCTGCGTTAAGGAAAGGGGTTCATGCTTGTCCTGCGCAGTCCATGTGCAAGAAGGAATGCTAGCAGGTCTACCTTAAAGTTCCAAAGTGCCATCATTCTACAGAGGGAATCACTAGGTTTCTGTTTTGCTGGGCATAGAAGAGTCAAAGACTACATCAGTACTGATCAAATTCCATACTCAGGGGTCACTTGGGTCACTTGTGAAATTGTGAGGCCTAGTCAAACTTTTCCCTGAAACCTCTCCAACTTATTTTGTAATATCTATACCTATTTAGTCATTCCACTTCATGCAACTCGAGTTGAGTAATGCAGGGGTTAGGGGCACTGAGCTGTGCACTTGAAAAGGAACGTATAACTTTTGACTCCCCCCAAAACTTAACAATTAAGTTATTCTTACAATAAGGCTAGAAAAAAAGAAATGTTATTTAAAAAATCATACATAAGAGAAAATAAATTTGCACGGTCAAAAAGAAAATAATCTGTATGTGAGAGGTTGCTCTTTTACTTATTTTCACCTTCCTACCTTTCCCCATGTCTCTCCCACTTACCAAGAATTCTTTCACCTCATTCTACCCATTCTTCAAACTACCTTTCAAATTCTACTCTCTCAATAAAGGCTTTTGAACCATTGCCCCTCCTGCTGATTTGCATCGCTCGAACAAATGTCTGAGTTTGTCATTTTCAGCAAGATGGTTTTGGGTTGTCTACTATGTGTGGATCACACATGATTGATATGCCCTTACAGTTTCCAGATAACATCTAACTCAATAGAGTGAAATTTGCCTAGTATGTATACAATACTGATGTGGGTTTATGCCATCATTGACTCACGGTCTTTCTCTGCTTCTGGGTACTCAGAACCTAGAAAAATGGTAGGCACACATAAATATGTAATACATAATTAAGTTGTCTATTTTAGGGCTATCTCCTCCTTATCAGGATAGAGCATTGCACTCTGCCATAGCAGGGCATACCTCCATTCAGGAAGGTCAGTCTTACTCATTCTTTGTTATTGCACAAGAAAGAAAAGACTTTGGATTTACTTATAGAACCATCATTTTTTAAAAAAAATTTTTTTAATGTTTGTTTATTTTTGAGACAGTGAACAAACGGGGAAGGGGCAGAGAGAGGAAGACAGAGGATCTGAAGCAGGCTCTGCACTAACAGCAGTGAGCCCAATGTGGGACTTAAACTCCCAAACCATGAGTCAAAGTCGGACGCGTAACCAGCTGAGCCACCGAGGCACCCCTGCTTAACATGATAAATCCATTTTACCTGTGTTTTCAAACTTTGATCAGTAATTGTAATTTATTTTTTTAAAGGTCCTCCTGGACCCCCAGGTGAAAAAGGAGATAGAGGTCCCGCTGGAGAAAGTGGTCCGCGAGGCATTCCAGGTGCAGTAGGTATGGTAATAGTAACCACTTAATCATACACTGTAGGGCCAGGTCATATGGATGTGTGTAGGGCGAAACAGTTATTCGATTTGTCTCCTGTGGAGTGTGTGTGTGTGTGTGTGTGTGTGTGTGTGTGTGTTAAAGGGGATATTAAGTATTTTCCAGCAGCCTAATCATTATAGTGTACCAAGTGGAACTGCTTTGGGTTTTTGAAAAAAGTGAAATGCTTTACCCATAGCTAATGAGGCTTCCCATAAGTCTGGGAAGTGCTATCCATGGCCTTGAGTGTATGGCAGACCTAGCTTTAGGTCACATGAAGAGAACAGGAAAATCATCTTCACCTTGAAGATATTTGCATATATGTAATGTAAATATAATCTGTTATTTTATATATATTAAATATATATAATATATATTGTAATATACATGTTATATATTATAATCAATTCTATCCATATATATCCATATATTATATATATCAAAGGAAATTGGATTACATTCCTTATATAGCCCTTAACTGGAATATAGCTGCTTCAACTTGTGAGCTCTAAATGTAAATATTGACTAGAATACAAATGACTTCTGCCTTTATTGTCAGCCACTCTCTGTCTTTTACTTCAAGCAAAATAGTTTTAAATTATTTTCCTCTGTTGATGTTGTAATCTTGAAAGCAGTATTTGAGAGAAGATAATAGAAGACAGAAAAGGAGAAAGAGCATGAACTTTCCTTGCTTTCAAAAAAATAAAGGCGACAAGAACAATAGCATGATTGTCATGTTATTCTCTGCTAGAAATCAAATACCCACATGCTCTTTGAAAGTAAGAGTATACTGCATGGCTTAATTATACTTAGGATGGTCTGCACTGCCCAAAACATGTCTAAATACCATGTACTTCATCCCATTATTCTTTTGGTTATATAAAATGTTCTTCTCTCTGATCAATATATTGACTAGCCCAGGTTACATCAGAAAAATAGCGTTTAAAGATGAAAAACCTGAATTTGACACCTCCGACCTTTGCATCATTATACTTGAAAAGCTAATGCAATTTACATTAAAAAGGTTTTAAAAGCAGTGCTTTAAAGAAAGGACACCACATTGGATCCTAAAGTTTCCTTCTTCTAGCCATCTCCTGGGTTGTTTCTGCCCATTGGGATCACTAAGAGGTAGCCTGACCTGTAGGCTTGGGAGGGCTGCCTACACGAGATGCCCTGAGAGGGAACCAAAGAGTCTGTTGGCTACAAAATGTTGATCGTTATGCAGTGCTGTTTACTTTTCTGACATAGCTTGAATTTTCTTCCATAAGGATCATGTTTCTGGAAGAGAAAATAAAGTCCATCTCACTATGGATATTGAAGGGCGAGGACTGCATTTCATCCATCTTTATATCTTCCCAAGTCTTTACCCCACCCTACCCCACCTCTTCTTCCAGTCTGTGAGCCAAAAAGGTTTCTCCCCCTGCCTTGAACCAGGACAGTGCTCCCTAAAATATGTGTGTGAGTAGGGAACATTGCTGGCTGCAGACTCTTGCTATGAGTGTTGAAAGCAGGTTTCTTTGGGAGGTAACTAATTATGCCAAGGAACCCCAAAATATCTGCAAATTATATACATATCATTAAATAAAATTAAATTGAGCAGCCTTGACAAAAAGCTGGTGAAAATAATGATTATTTTACAAACATCAGGGGACCTGGGTGGCTCATTCGATTGAGAGTCCTACTCTTGGTTTCGGCTCAGGTCATGATCTTATGGTTCATGAGATCAAGCCCTTCATCAGGCTCTGCGCTGCAAGTGCGGAGCCTGCTCAGGATTCTCTCTCTTTCCCCTTCTCTCGGCCCCTCCCCGACTCACACGCCCAGGTGCATGCACACTCTATCACAAAATAAATAAACTTAACAATAAAGGAGAGTGTCATTAAATAAACAAGTCACATAACTCTATAGGTCATATAGAGTCTGCCTAAACATCTCCAATAATGGAGGTCTAATGATCAAGTGATTTCTATGAAAGTATCGCATGTACTTCATTTATGGATTCATTTGTTCACCTACTAAACAAATGACATAATTCCTAGTTGAACAGCTGTATTCTCAGTATCACAGCAATGTACTCCAGAAGCCATCATTGGAGAGGTTCTTCCTCATCCCCTTGCTGGGCATTCTGTCTCGCATTTCTCCCTTTATTCTAAAATTACAATCTCCAAAATTACCTTCTTTCTTGATTTGTTAACTTTCTTGTTGTATGTCTCACAGTGGAAGATCTGTTCAGATAAGAACGTTTGTAACTCTAGGAACATACAGGGCCTGGCATAATATGTGTGCTCGGTGTATTTTTGTTGAATTAATGGAGAAAATGGTAGAGTAGGCTAAGATTTAAAAAGAGAATTTAGAGTCAGCGTTTTTATATATAAATTTGAGTGACAGATTTTAATAACAGTACAGACGTCTGCCTATCTTGCTTGGATAATGAAGAAAGGTGTAAGTATTAATCAACTATCCCATCTTGAGAACTGGTGTTAGTTTTTTTTAGGCTGTATGCTATGAAATCCAGCAAATAAATACTGAAAAGCAGAGTGTGTGTGTGTGTGTGTGTGTGTGTGTGTTTGTGTGTGTATGTATTCAATATATGAAAATAGCAATTTATGATATATTGTTATATTGTCATACATATGTAGATTTATACATATATATTTATATATAATGCATATATACAGTATATATTTATGCAAAGTAATATATATTGAATAATAAAATTGGGATGTCCTGACTTTACTAATATTTTTAAACATAATTTATCATTTTTTTGCTTTGGATATCTGCTTGATATACACTGGAATCAAAAATTAGGCTGGGATGAATAATATTTCTTAACTATTTAGAATATACTTAAACTTAACATTTCTTAGAGAATATTTAACTCAATTTAGGTATCCACATGAATGTACCTCAAGAAAAGATTTTTTGTTTACTGAATTAAATATGTATAAGTCCTGCCTCCTGGAACTTGTAAACTAACAATATATTAACAGATTGATATTGGGAAAAGATGTATAATTTTTAAATTTTTCATAGTATACTTCCCAAGGAGTTAACTGAAAATTGAATTAATACAATCTCTGTGAACTAATAATAACATCTAAAATGAGATTTTTATAATAGTTGATTTCAAACTGCTGGGCTCCAGGATGAAATATTTTATTGTGCTGGAAAATAACACTTTTATGTGCAATTTTCATGGTCACTACAGTAATGATGGGGGGTTATTTTCATTTAAGCATATAAAACCCTAGGTTTGTATATTTATATAATATGCACCCATAAATGAATATTTGTATAATATACACACACATGTATATATATCATATTATATGGATCCATTATTGTTTGGGATTACAATAGAATATGCAAACAAATGCATGAGAAAAAGCTTAATATTTTCAGGCACTAGGACCCAATTTCTTCAATAATTACTTTTATACTTCTCATTGCTTGAGTTGTGTTTTCTCAGGAACAAATCTTAAGAATTTGGTTTTCACCTTGTACATTTCAACATTACCATTTTAGCTACAGGCAAAATTCTCCCATTTGTGGATTCCTGATTGGATTTCATAAGCCTTCTTGTTAAAACTCCGAAATTTTTTTCTCATATGTTTTTTTATTTGTAGTAATAATTTGTTATTTATTGAATATCTGCATTGTCCTAAATGCACTAATGTTTCTACCAATTGGTTATAGTATTTATCAATGGCACCCATGAAATGTTATGATAGAATATTATCCCTACACTTGGAGATTTGCCTATTGCATATTCATCAATGAAACTAAACTGTTTCATTATACTCACAAACCTAGAAGAAAAAATGGGTTTTTCTTCATTGATGATGTAGGTCCTCCAGGCCCTAAAGGTGATCGGGGAGCGATTGGATTTCCTGGAAGCCGAGGATTCCCAGGACCCATGGGCAAGACCGGGAGGGCAGGTACTGGGATAATCTATGTTTTCTCTGTGGTCTGTGTAAAATGTGCACCAGAGCATAGATGTTTCCCCCTGTGCTTGCATAACAAAAACAAGAGCCATCCTAGGATGCATAGTAGATGCACGTGTAGTTTTTCTTGTGGTCTGAAACATTTAGAAAGTAATTTCTGTCTACCTGAGCAGCTTCTATTGTCCAAAGGAAAAGTCTTTAAAAAAAAAAAAAAAAAGACAACAGAGGATTTATAATCTCTGCCCAACTGTCAGTCACATGAAGAATGGTATCTCTATCTTAGAAGAAGAGAGTGGAAAGATTCACACACACACACACACACACACACACACACACACACACAAAGTATAAATATCCTTTTAACTAAAACTGGCCAAACCCCGGGAAGTTACAGTTAGCAATCCACAGATAGGTCAGAAGTCCTAGTCTATGCAAGGTAAACTGGCTGCTATTATATATTAGTTCTTTTTTTTTTTTTTTTAAATGTTTTATTTATTTCTAGGCGAGAGAGAGAGAGAGAGAGAGACAGCGTGAGCAGGGGAGGGTCAGAGAGAGAGGGAGTCACAGACTGAAACAGGCTCCAGGCTCAGAGCTGGCAGTCAGCACAGAGCCAGACGCGGGGCTCGAACCCACGAACCGCGAGATCATGACCTAAGCGAAAGTCGGACGCCCAACCGACTAAGCCACCCAGGCGCCCCTATTATATATTAGTTCTTAATAAGCTACATTATCCAGGCTTTTCAGAATTTACATACGTGATGACATTATTTCTACTCCTTATAGCTGCAGCCTAAGCTTGCATTGTGAGCTTTACACAGAAATTTTAGAAGTAGGGAGGCTTATTGTTTCTAATCTCAAAGTAAATTCTGACTAAGGGAATAGGCTTCTTATCACTGAGGTGTTTTTTTAAGTAGGTTTTGTTTGTTAGAGTAGTTTTGGGTTTCTAGAAAAACTGCACAGAAAATACAGGAAGTTCCCATAAACCCACATCCATTTTCCCTGTTATTAACATCTTGCATCAGTCTGGTGCCTTTGTTACAATTGTTGAGCCAGTATTGATACATTATTACTAACTTACAACCACAGTGTATATTCGAGTTCATTCTTAGACATTTTGTGGGTTTTGACAAATACATAATGATCTGTATCCACCACTAGAGTGTCATACAGAGCACTTTAACTGCCTTAAAGGTCCCCTGGGGTCCACCTACTCCTCACCACCCCACTCCCTCCCACCCCTGCCAACCCCTAATCTGTTTGCACTCTCCATGGTTTTGCCTTTTCCAGAAGGTCATACAGTTGAAATTATACTGTATGTAATCATTTCAGATTGGCTTGTTCCATTTAGCAGTACGCACTGAAGCTTCTCCATGTCTTTTTGTGGCCTGATAGCTCATTTATTTTTAATATTCAGTATATTCTGATGTATGGATATATCACAGTTTGTAGATCCATTCACCTATTTGAAGGACCTTGTGGTACTTAACAAGTTTGGGCAGTCATGAATAAAGCTGCTGACATGAGTTTGCCTAGAAGTTTGATTGCTGCATCAGATGGTAAACCTATATTTAATTCTGTGAGAAACCACCAGACTGTCTTCCAAAGTGTACGGTTTTGCACAACCACCAACAGTGAATGAGAGTTCTCATTGTCCACATCCACACTGGCCTTGGGGGTTGCCAGCGTTTTGGATTTTCGAAATTTTAATGAGTGTGTTGAGGTGCTGTTTTTTTTTTTAACCTTTGTTTATGTCATTTTGAGAAAGGAAGGGAGGGAGGGAGAGAGAGAGACATTGATCACGAGTGAGGGAGAGAGAGAAGCCCAAGCAGGCTCCACGCTCAGCACAGAGCTCTGTGCCTATCAATCTCATAACCCCCAGATTATGACCTGAGCCGGCGTCAAGAGTTGGACATTTGACTGAGCTGCCCAGGCACCCTGAGGCATTTTTAATAGTATCACTGTTTATGGACTATGTCCATGGCAATTAGGGTTGAAGAAAAATCAGCTAGCCACCAATAAGCAGCCTTCAATCAGACCCAATTACCTGAACTGAATGGTATATTTATATACCAACCATCTCTAAAACTGTCTAGCTTTAATCAGGCCTTTTTGGCAAAATGGGAAGAAGTGTTCATTTGTTAATTTGTTTGAAATTATCTACATCCTTCAGGAATTGCTGAATTTCCTAACTGAGCAATTTGTGTGCGGTAGATAAATATATTTAAAAACCCTGAATTTGACAAAATTGCAAAACTACTTATAGTTTCCAAGATAATTTAAATAGTTCCATGGAGTGAGAAAACATTTTATCTGTATTCTAACTTTAAAGCTAAAATGGTGTGTTAATCTACTATCTGTCTTAAATAGGTAGTCATTATTATCCCTGGAAAAATGATGGTAAGATTTTGTTTGGGACTCTTTCTGGTACAGTCTATTTGTAACTTTCTAATTACATTAAATCAGAAAGGGTAACTTCATACATGAATATCACTCTGAGCTCTGAGTAAATCAGAGCTATTAATTTGTCTTTCTGGAAAATCTACATAAAACAGGGAAGGAATGTTAAGAAGGCCTTAGTCTTTCTCATCCTCATCTGTCTGTTATGTATAACCTTCCTGCATGGTCAGGGATGATGTTAATAATAAAGCACAGAAGAGACATATGACTGTACACAACTTAGCTGATTTAATGAAAAATAAGCTTCCTCATTTATTGAGTGCCTATATTTCCTTCCACACAGTGCTTGGAGCAGAGGATACAAAAGTAGCTGACTGTCCGCCCTTAAGTGTTCTCCCAGAAATTCCTCGCAATGGCCGCTCTTCTAAAATTTAATCAACAAGGTCATTCTGTAATGTGTACGTGCACCATCTAATCTTAGGTGGTTCATTTGAGAAGAGTATATGTTTGTCAGAATGGTATGAATTTGAATTTCATGTTGGCACATAGTCGTTGCATGTCTGTTGTTTACTCTCTTGGGAAATACAGGGAAAGCATAGTATGGTTGGTACTTGACAGAAATAGCATAGCACAGTATATCCTTAAAAAAAAAAAAAAAGAGCACCTCCCCACCTGTTTAAGTCTATATGTGCCTCAGTTTCCTCATCTAAGTACGAGGCTATTAAGAGGACCCATATTTCAGAATTTCTGTAATAACCAAATGAATTAAATGTTTTAAAGTACTTCAAACCATTCCCATAACAAAGCAAGCTACATATACATGTTAGTTATTAGCTACTGCCTGTACAAGCTTCAGGGTTTTTCTCCCCCACTACCAAACTCCTACAGTTCAACAAATGCTCTCTAATCAAAGTATTTGAGAGAGCATTCACTGATTCATTCACCCAGTCAACACAATTTTACGGGAGTTCACTGTGTGCTACAGATCAATATAGCATATCGCATAAGGGGCAGGAATGAAAAAAAATGCAGAAGCAATTGGCTATAATGCCATGTGGTAGGTAATAAACATTGGTGAATTAGGACCAAATACTATGGAAGCAGAGAGTAGAGAGTGATTAATTCTGTACGGCAAGACAATGTGTTACAGAGGACATAGTGTTAGTGCTGGCCTAAAGCATGTATAATAGGTTATATACCTGAAACTAGGAGACTATTGTATGTAAACTATACTTAAATTAAAAAAAAAATGCGTACAATTTCTTTAGGTCTAAGGTTCTCAAACTTTACCAGCGATTAGAATCACCTATAAGACCTATTAAAATGACCTACTTGGCTCTACCCCAGAGTTTTTCTTTTTTTTTTTTTTTTTTTTTAAGTTTATTTTGAGAGAGAAAGAGATCATTCATGGGAACACATGAGGGACAGAGAGAGAGTGAGAGAGAGAATCCCAAGCAGGCTTGACGCTGTCAGCACAGAGCCCAATAAGGGGCTCAGTCTCACCAACTGTGAGATCATGACCTGAGCCAAAATCAAGACTCAGATGCTCAACCAGTTGAGTGACCCAGGTGCCACTACCCCCAGAGCTTTTAATTCAGCAGTTTGGGGGCTGGGATCCCTTGAAAATTTTTAGTCCTCACAAGTTCCCAGGTGATAGTGATGATGTTCCAGGGACCACACTTTGAGAACTATATCTTCAGGGAAAGAAAAGGGGTGGAGAAAGAGAAACTCTGCAAAAGCAGAGAAAAGATATCCTTAGGATGTCACTGCCTTATTTAAAACTCAAATTCAGTAGAAATGTGAGCATCATGCTGGTACTACTTTAGTTATACTTTAGATTAAAACAATGTATAATAGAGTCTGTCCTCCCCAAGAATCTGAAGAAGGTAGTAAAATTAGAAATAAAATCCAGTATTTCCCTATTCTAATCAATGACACAACTTGGACTATCTGAATAATATTTAAATGATTAACATATTTAAGAAGGAGCATCCTGTTGGGGTGCCTGGGTGGTACAATAGGTTAAGAGTCTTGCTCTTGATTTCAGCTCAGGTCATGATCTCACAGTTTGTGAGACTGAGCCCTGCATTGGGCTCTGCACTGACAGTGAGGAAATTGCTTCGGATTATCTCTCTTCTCTTACTCTGTCCCTCCCCTGCTCACTTTCTCTCTGTCTCTCAAAATAAATAAACTTAATAAAAAAAAAATAACACCCTATTTATTTTGTCTTTGCTTTCCTTTTCTTCCCTGCCCTGTGTCTTTCCTTCCACATGTAATAATTCCTTGCTATGTATACAAGTTGCAATGCTAGGTACTGGGCAATGAGCATTAAAAGACCCGGTCCTTAATAGTCCTTAAAAGAAAGGAGAGGCTTTATGTTGTCTTGCTGCATAACAGGTCTATAGAATAGAGGAGTTACAAATTGACATATTTATTTCAAAAAGCTTTGAGAATTTAACTGAAATGCAACCTTACATATCTTCAGAATCCCTGCATATAACCTTATTGAATGAACTAGGCTTTACAGCATGTAAATAATGTGCTTCCCTTCAACTGAACTCACAGAGTCCATTCAAAGTCTGAATGTAAGGGTGAGTTATGGTCTTTCTTCGGAGTATTTAAAACTCTTGACCATAAATGGTCCATTTATTTATTTGACAGATAATTACTGAACATTTTCTCTGTGACATTCACGGAAATAGTCCTAGATCAGTGAATATATGGGTTTGGAGTTCAGAGGAGAGGCCAGAGATAGAAAGACAAAGTTGTAACTTTGAAATCATATATATGATTATATAAATGTGTATTGGAATCATTGGTTTTAATACTATTTCATGAGTAGCTGGTGAGAGAAGGGGCCTAGAATGAAGCCTTAACTAGTGAGGTACAGGATCCTTAGTCAGAGCAAAGCAGTGGGTTGAAAGGAAGCAGCCAGTGTGATTAAGAAAAGCTGGGGAATGTGGTGTGAAAAAGCCAAAGGCAAGAGTGAGTTTCACAAGGTGGTCAAGTAAGATGAACTCTAGAGAAGCCTCTTTGCCTTTGTTGTTATAAGGATGTCACCTTTACTGAGAGCAGTTTCTATAGGGTGAGTGGAAACCACATGGGGGGCTGCTCAGAGGTGACCAGGTCCAGGATTGGCAGGAACATGGAGGTGGAGTCAGTTCTTGAACAGTCTGACTCTCTGAGAAGAGATCTGGTTTTTCTTTCTTGTGGTTTTAATTTGATTTGTTTTGTTTTTCTTTAAAAGAGATTTGAATACCACTTAAATGCTGATAAAATAAGGGAGTGTTTGAAGAGACCTAGGAAGGAGGGGTAAGGTTAATGAGAAGGTTGAAGGTGAAGGCTTCAGGAAATAGGAAGCAGCCTTTGGCCTAGAGAGGAGAAAGGTCACATCTAAAGTTGAAATAGCTGAAGACCTGGGCTAACTAATGAGGGCATCCATGAAAAAAATGAGTAACCTAGTGTTCTAGCCCATAGTAGGGGCACTAAAAATGCTTGAAATCATAATGAAGTTATTGAAAATACCTCCCCTTTTATTTAAAGTTAGAATGTCAATTCTTACATATTTATTTCTTACTTTATAATGGCTTTCAGAAATGTAAGCTCCTTATATTTGATTGAAGAGTGCCACACATGGAAAGAGATTAACTCCAGGTTTTGACAAAGTTCTTGAGCTCCATTTTAGCCAAAGTTATCATTGTAAAGGAGGGATACACTCCTTTTCTCTAGAAGGATGTTTTTGATGTGTTTACTTGTGAGAAAAAAAACTCCAACAGTCTTCTGTGAGGAGATCTTTGAGTCATGCTAGAGTAACTTAAAACATTTGTATTTGTTTATAAGAAGAAAAAAAAAGGGGGGGTTCATTTTAGCATTTAAGAAAAGTGACATAAAAAATAAAACTGATTTTAAAAAAATTTTTTATGGTTTATTTATTTCTGAGAGAGAGAGAGAGACAGCATGAGCAGGGGTGGGTCAGAGAGAGAGGGAGATACAGAATTCAAAGCAGACTCCAGGCTCTGAGCTGTCAGCACAGAGCCCGATGCTGGGCTTGAACCCACAAACTGTGAGATCATGACCTGAGCCGAAGTCGGATGCTTAACTGACTGAGCCACCCAGGCGCCCCATAAAACTGCTTTTTTATTTATCATAAGATCCTAGAGCTGACAGGATATGAGTGGGTCATTCACTCAGGGCTCTGGCTTGAGCATTTTATTCTTAAACTATCCAAAACAATTGTAGTATATAAAGACTCCCAAGAAAAGTGTACAGCCTCCTTCTTTTTTTCTAAATAATGTGAAAATGATCAAATTAAGCTCGCTTATTATATTACTTTCTCTGAAAAGAACTGATCATTACACCCTTTTAAATCCCCCTCTGCCAATTTTTGTTTAATATCTTAGACTTTTGCTATTGGAGAAATGGAGATACTATATCTCATAAAAGTAGACCATCAAAAAAATGGAAAAGGATTTGAGTACTTTGATAAATTAATGATTTTTGAAAGTTTCACATTTTTGAAATGTCTAAATCACAATTAAAAAGTGAATATAATTATGTACAGTTTAATCATGTATGCAAAATGGTTAGAGACAATGTCTAATAGGGAATGGTTGGTATTTCGTGAAATCTGCACAATGAAATTTTAATTGGTAACAGCTTATGCTTTTTAAGTGCTGAATCTCAATTCTCACATTATTTATCAATATACTTTTATATTTTTAAATATGATAAATTGGGGATCAAAAAATCTCTCAGTCATAAGAACAAATGTTCAAAAACAAAGATGAACACAAAGTAAACAAAATTAGGGAAACAAAAAATTTTCAAAACCCAAATAAAGATTAAAACTTTAAAGTAAAATTTAAAATATTTGTGCAATGTTCTCTCTCCCTCTCTCAAAATAAATAAATAAACATTAAAATAATTGTGCCATAAAACATGAACCGAGATGACCAAGTCCTTTCTAGATCACTGAGAATAAAACCACAGTGATACCCTTCTAGCTGGGACCCATCTAGCACAGCTTTCGGAGATATTGTAAAATATTGAGAGCTACCCTCTCTTATTTTCATCCCTTGTGGGCAAGATGCTTTATAAGCATTGTTGCTAATTTTCAGGGTAACTCTTCACAGGAAGGTGATATTTTTTCACTTGATAGAAGAATAAACTTTCAGTTCAGAAAGGTTCGAAAACTTGTTTTGAGCCACATGCTTGGTAAGTAACAGAACAAATAGGGATTTTCAAAATTACTATTATTCTGTTACAGGGCCATGGGTTTTCAACTATGTCCACTGAGCTCTTGGATGGAAAGTTAGAGGGTCTTGACTTTGTTGGGGGACATCAAGAACAAGAACAAAGAGTCTCACTTAGAGACAGGGACTATTAGGATCAGCCAAGAAGGGACAAGGTAAATATCTGAGGAATGTTGGAAGAGTCAATAAGCAAGAAGAGACCCGCTCTCAGGAGGTGAAATTGTTACAGTTAAAATCTCTTGTTGGTACTAGAAGATGATCTTCTGGATATACCTTTGAAAGTGGAGCTGGAGGGGCACCTGGGTGGCTCAGTGGGTTAAGTGTCCGACTTTGGCTCAGGTCATGACTTTGAAGTTTATGAGTTGGAGCCCAACATTGTGCTTGTACCACACCCCTATGTAAACAGATAAGATTTCCGAAAGCCAAAGTAAGTAGCCCAGAGGTTTAGATGCCCCTCAGACCTTCTTACCTTCCCCCAGAACAAAGTCATCAGGATCTTAGCGCTGTAGGAAACTCATTCACAACCGGATCTTTGGGATTTTCTCCTCTTAACACACAGAAAGCCAGATAAAGTATAATGACAAAAAGAGAAATCAAGATTTAAAATGAGATGAAAGACACAAGGCACTCTGGGGCGGGGAGAGGAAGGCAAAATAAAAGGAAGGGAAAACAGGAGATGAATAAGCACAAAAATTGCTTATACCTCAGTTTTGTGTGCTTTAGGAAAATGGGATGCTTAATGCCCTTGTAAATAATTTGAGATTATGTAAGGGACCTAATATGACTTTTAAAATATAGCCATCATTGAAGTACCTGCGTGGCTCCATCGGTTAAGAGACAGCTCAGGTCTTGATCTCAGGGTTTATGAGTTCAGTCTCCAAGTCAGGCTCTGCCCAGGGTGGTGTGGACCTGCTTGGGATTCTCTCTCATTTCCTCTTTCTGCCCCTCCCCTGCTTGCGCTTTCTGTCTCTCTCTGTCTCTCCATCTCTCTCTCACTCCCAAAATACATTAAAAATGTTTTTAAAAATAAAATGATAGCCATTATTATTAACGTCAACATTACTGTATTTGAGCATCTGTAGGTTTGTTCTAAATTTATATTTCAGGTTACTTTGTGATGCTTTGACTCCATTTAAAGCAATTCATTTTTGTCTCCATTTATAGCAATTAATTTTTAATTAGATACAAATAAAATTGTTGCTTTTCTGTTTGTTTGTCTCCAAGGAAATCCTGGACCAAAAGGCCAGAAGGGAGAAAAAGGGAGTGGAAGCTTGCTAAGTAAGTTCACGGTTCGTTGTTTTTATGTGTGGCTTGTAATAAACAAGCTTATGATCATAGTGGTCTGGGCTCAAGGCAAATGTTGGGAACTTTAGCATTGATCTGGAGAGATTCTGTGCAAGTCAGCCACAGTCTTCTACAAATAAAGCTTGCTAATTGGAGTAAAGCAAATAGATTAACTTATACAACTCTGAGTCTCATGACCCATTCTGTTTTCATGAGGAACACAGTTTAATTTCCACACAGAAAATTGTTCAGTTTTCAAGCCACTTTCAATCTGCTGAAGAAAAATCTAGTTTATGAATAGAAACCATGATAGCCTCCTCACCTACTAAGTAAGCCTACTGAAAGGCTACATACAGGAGTTTCATACAGGAATCCCTGCTAATAGGATTATTAGAGGAGGTGTCTTCAACATACCAGGCAGCTAGTCAGTTGTTGTGTGTCTAGGCTGAATCCACACAGATCAAGTGGAAGGATTATGAAGAGGGATCGAGGTTCCAACAGGACCTACGTGTGATGTGTGTGACTCTTAGAGTAGCCACTCCGCACACACAGTGATCGTAATCTCTACCCAACCGGGATCTCTTTTAGGTAGATTTTGGCTCATCCTTTAATGTACCAAAAATGTAGCATTTTTAAGTTGTAGTTATTATTTTAAAACTGTAGTACTAATGTCTCTCCCTTACAACGAAAGTATTATTTTTAAGTGGTATGGTGCATAGATACCGCACTTAGATAATAGGATCTGCACTGGGAATGCCAGCCACTAAAACATAGTGTAAATACAGGATGCTTCTCACAACTGTTGCATTGTTGATCCTGTTTCCCCTAAACTGAACAACATTTAGTATTGGGTATTGCCTCAAGGTGCTTTAGCATCACTCGGTGATTATTAGCGTTGTTATTATTATATTAAGATAATGGAAACAGTAGTATGTTTCTTCACCTTTGTGTCCATTAATTCTGGGATGTGATCACTTCTGATGGCTGGAACACTATATCCCACTTACTATCCTTGCCCCTTGACACTCCAGGTATTTTCACTGGAGCTGCTTGTAACTCTTCCCTGTCCTCATGTTTATCTCTTTCTTTATCTCTGGTTCTTTTTTATCTCTTGCTCCTTTTCCTGAGACTTTCTCTGAGCTACTTAACCTTGACTCTGGGTAGGTTTGGCAAGCAAAGAACTTCTATGTTTTGCAGTCTGTAAACTGAACACTCGCACTGCCTTCTGTTACCAGAGGTTAGCAAATGCTTTAAGTACCTTTTTCAGATATGTTCAGAAATGTTTCTCTTATAGATATTTTCATGGCTGTTTTGAATTTAAGTGCACACTTTCCTTGTGAAAGCAATAATAGGGACATTTCTGTGTACGTGTTTATGACCGCAGACTTCCCTCCATGCACTTCCCCCACCCACCATAGAGAGTATATATAAACTCCATAATTCTCTCCAAAAGAGAGAAAGAAATTGGGGCGTCTGGGTGGCTCATCGGTTAGGCGTCCGACTTTGGCTCAGGTTGTGATCTTGCGGCTCGTGAGTTCGAGCCCCACGTCGGGCTCTGTGCTGACAGCTCAGAGCCTGGAGCCTGCTTCAGATTCTCTCTCCCTCTCTCTGCTTTCGTTCTGTTTCTCTCTCCCTCAAAAATAAAAATAAACACTAAGCATTTAAAAAAAAGAGAGAAAGAATCATGTACACAAACATTTATACACTTTGTTCTGCTTTTCCTTATTTAAGTTAGTATGTCAGTCATCTGCCCATGTCGGTACAGGTGGCTCTAGCTCTTTTCTCTGGATGACTATGGTCCCATTATATACATGCTAAGGCACAGTTACTAAAGTGTATCATTCTACCCCCTAGTCATGAGTACTTGATGATACTGTGTTTGCCATGGTTTGGCTTTATTAAGCAATGCTACATTTAGCAGTCTTGGACATGATCTTGTGGAAATATTCTATAATAGAGTATTTGCTAGAAGTAGACTCAATAGTGCCAACGTGGCATGCATTTTACAATGTGATGGTTTCTTGTAAATGGCCTCCGAAATGTTGTACCAATTTATTCTGCATGAGATTGCCTGATTCCCCACATCTCCAACTACTTCTGATTAATAGAACTTTATATTAAATTATTTTGATAAATATATTTAATATATTTTAGGCATGATTAAAATATAAAAAGAATAATCACTGATTTCCTCTTTTGTGCATGTATCAGGACCAGTATAACTCCCTGATCGTATTTGGGCAGGGCCCTTTTAAGATCAGGCGGGTTGGGCAAGACACCCTCTGCTACCATCTCATTAAAAGGCCCTTCACCTCTGGACAAGTCATGCGCACAACTGACTCCAAGATCCCTTTGTGGCTCCTTCAAATGACTCTGGTTCCTGTGTGGTACCCAGGCTCCACATGGCTTTCTCTCTGGGTCCTTGGTGCTGTTGGGGCTCTTTTCCCATGCTCAGACCTCTCCCCACTCCAGTAGCCCGCCATCCCCACCATCTGCGAGCACCCTTAGTCGGGATGCCTCCCACGTAGTGACTGGCAAGCTGCTCCTGCCAGTTCTCAGAGCGAGACCAGGAGCCCTCTGCCACCCACTCATCTAATGTCTTACTGAGCCTGCGTTAACCCACTGGGTTCTAGGAGACATCTCATGGATATTGATCATAGATGGGTTCTTGACATTCAGAAACCATACTCTTAACAATTGACAGGGAGGACATAAAAGAAAACCCCTTCATTCATTCATTCACATTCATATTCATGCAGCATATGTTCATTGTGTGCCTCCTGGAGCTGAGCATCACGGCTAATAAGATCACTGTTGTCTCTTGCCCATTTAGAGCCACTTTTCCCTGAAATCCCTAGATGTGTTAACAGGCAATTAGACAACACAGCAGAGCTATATTGGGGGTAGGAATAGGGCTCTACACATATTCAGAGGAGATCAAGACTGTTAAATTCTTTAAGATATTAAAAAATATTCGTTTTTATTTGCTTATTCTACCTTCTTATCTGCTTATTCTACAAATTGTACACACACACACACACACACACACACACCTTTTTTTAGGTTTATAGTGAGGTGAAGTAGAGCTTGGACAGTTCTTTCAACACATGTACACCAAAAAATCAAAACTTGTTTCCTGAAGTTACCTGGCTATGTCAAGCAAATATTTTGATCATGAAAAAATAATGCTGAAAACGCTCTACTCCAAAAAGCTCTTTGTATTTTATGCTTTAAGTATCTAGTATAGGTCCTGCAGATAAAGAAGTATTTCCGTAGAACTGGAAATATTTAATGTAGGTGAAGAAAGGGATGAAAAAGAGAAAGAGGAAGAAAAAAAGGAAGAAAAGGCAGACTGAAACAAGGAACAGGAAAAATGTAGGGTACCGTGTTGTTTTTGAGGTTCTCTCTGTTTATTAACAAATCACATTTTCACATGTCTCATTTTCTCCAAGATTTACAGATAGTCCCAGGCATCACAGTCCTTGATTTCTAGTAGAGTTCTAAGTACTGTGTCCATGTGTCTCTCAGCCCTTCCATTCCCTCTCCTAGCAAACTGACATCATGACACCTACCTCACAGGGTTGTTGTGAGGATCGCATGAGATACCGTGTGTGTGAAGATGTTCTCTGTAAAATTATAAAGTGCTTTAAACACCTAAGGTCTGCTTCACGATGGTCTCTCCTAACCAGACCTGCTGTCCCTTGCTGGTATCATGCAGACATTTAAAACCTGTTATCAGGATAAGGAGGCAAAGCAAAATGAAAATGCAAGAAGCCAAATAAATGTCACGGACAAAAAGACGCTAGAGAAGAAGATGTGATTTTACATTAGATAGAGGAATGGAAGTGTGACCAGATCACAAATCAGGGAGTTTGAGCTGAGCAGAAGAGCGTAAGTTATAAATAAAAGAAGTGACTAAACGGAGTGTGTGCCAGAGGCCAGAAGCTGTCAACAGAGGTCAGAACAAAATGTCAGCCTAATAAAACAAGAATCCAGTCTCTGAAGGATGAAGCGTGAGCCCAAGAGTCTGCTGATGAGGAAGCTCCACGAAAGGTTGAAACAAATTAGAGTGGTCAGCGGTACTGTGGGTCTGTGCCTGCGTGACACCAAAGTCTGCCAGAATAAAAAAAGATGAGGAGGAGGAATCAGCCAGTCTTGAGATAGTCCTTAATATTAGAAAACTGGCAATGTTGACGAGCCTGTTAATGCAAACACCTAGAGATGAGTTGAAGCTCTTTGTCCGTGGTTTCATTAGGTGTGACTTCGGACCCCAGTCTGTACTGGGGGCCAGCTGGAACCTAGTAACCCAACTTCCCTTGCCAGCAGGCCGTGGTCCACATTGGCCACAGAATGATCCTGATCCCAGAGATGGTAGGAAATAATTTCAGGGCGCTCCATTCACAGGTTGTGTGATACCCCAGAGTGCAAATAGATTCTAAGTGGGTGAAATACGAATCCACACTTTCCAAATTATGGGAGAAGGGCTTCTCTTTTCTTCTCCCCTTAGACAAAAGTGGATTCTGAATGCCCAGCTCAAATGCACAAATTATACCAACTTGAGTAATGTGCAATGGAAGAGAAAGAAGATGGCACCAAGGTCTCATGCTTATCACGAGGCTTCCTCTGTTCTCTTCTCGCCCAACTTGGAAGTGTGTTTCAGTCAAGCAAAAGCAATTCCAACTATACAATTAAACACTTTGTGTGAGGCCCTGTCCTAAACATACCAATTACCAATGTGTCATTGGTTAGTGTTTTTCACTGTGCTTTGTTCATGCCCAGTGAGGCTATAATTAGAATGTGAATTTAAACTGTCTTATTTTAAAACTCATGTAATGATATGAAATATCAGTGTGTCTTCCACAAATCCTGAGGACTTTGCACACTCTCAAGTGAATTCTGGTCTTTCTCAAAGCATCCAGTTGACCAAAGTGAAACCTTCTCCTCCAAACAATGAATAATTATAACGGTGAACATTTAAACAACACTGGGTGTGCACCAGGGGCTTTTGATGCATTATCTCATTTAATCCTCAGAAGAGCCTTTGAAGTAGGTACTTTTGTTATTCCCATTTTAGTAGATTGGAAACTGAAGCTCACTGCTGATAAACGGAAGGGCAGAAACTCAAAGACTTTTTTGTAACTATGACTCGATTCAACACCCACATTCTAGTTTTATCTGTTCTGCATAGCATGGAGGGTGTGGAGAAAAGAAGAAGGAAAAGAGAGAGATTTGTAATAAGCAATTTGGTTTTCCAGAATGGGCATAATAATTTAAAGACACTAAGCAGATGAAGATTCTTAGAGTATGACTTCCATTATTTCAAATTAAAAAAAAAACAACATTCTCAATTTCGATTTGTTTATGCTTCTACTTTCACATATGCGTTCAGTTGCCTCCCGTTCTGCCCCACATCTGTTATCCGGAAACATAGCGACCCTGGAATAACTGAATTTGCATTGTCGGTAATAAGAGTTCTTATGAGCAAGAGGGAAAGGAACTACCTGTTAATATTCTGTCTTTATTTCAGTATCAGGCTCTATTTCCACATTTTTTTTAATACAATGTGGCAGCTTTGATATTCCTCTTCTGTTATTGTATCTGCTTTTATTTTTAAAAAAATTTTTAAATGTTTTATTTATTTCTGAGAGAGTGAGAGAGAGAGAGACAAACAGCGTGAACACAGGAGGGTCAGAGAGACCGGGGGGCACAGAATCTGAAATAGGCTCCAGGCTCTGAGCTGTCAGCAAAGAGCCTGATGTGGGGCTCGAACCCACAAACCATGAGATCATGACCTGAGCCGAAATCGGATGCTTAACTGACTGAGCCACCCAGACGCCCCTGTATCTCTTTTTTTTTTTTTTTTTTAAACTCATTTCTGTACTTTGCTCAGCAGCCCTCATCATGATTGAGCAGACCAAGGTATCCTGGAGCCATTTGGCTCCAGGTAACTTAGCTAAGTGCTGCTCTTTCTCCACAGTCTATGTTTTTATAGCTTCGTGTGAGTCCATGAGTTGTTGTCCAAATGTGTAACTTTACATTAACTCAATGAATGTGTTCCTGGATAGCAGAAATCACTAATATGTCGTGGAAATTGAAATAGAGATTTAAATCAGGAATGGATCCAGCAGTCTGCATGTGCTTGTTGAGTCCTTGTTTCAGGCTGACTTAACACAGCCCAACTCCTACCAGAGCCAATTAGAAGGAAAGACTAAAACAATCCGTACAAGTCCACTCAAGTCTTTCGCACCATCTGAAATTCATCCAGTTACATGCCTGAATGCCTATGGATGAGACCCAATGTGGCACTTCCCATCCTCCACAACCTCAGAAGACCAAACGGCTTGCCTGCCCCTCTTCAGAGAACCTGGTGCTGGCTTCCCACTCTGCAGTCAGTTTAGTCTTACACCAACGCAAGCTGATTTCCTTTGTTCCAATGACAGCACTGAGTATGGATTCACAACCAGTACTTGCCCCCTCTCACCCTGGCTTCTCGGAAATGCACTGTCCTGCAGTGGGAAACTCAACACCAAATTCCCAGAACAACACAATTGCTTGCTTGCACGTGAAGTGTCCAAGAAATATCTCCCATTATGGCTTTACCTACAGGCTTGACCTTCCCTGGGGTGCTCTAGTTATTTCCATTCCCTGCTTCCCTGAGTTACTCACATTCTGCTAACCCCTCACTGCAAAATGAAACACCTGAATCCCAGCTGCTTTTCAGAGGCTCATTACTGGGAACTATTTAAAGGAATCCTAATATGAATTATTTAGCAAAATGAAAGCCACCCTTCTTCCTAATGATGTTCTGTGTAATTCTGATTTTTCATTGCCTAGAAGTGCTGAAAGGTAAATTGGTTCACCTGAATACAAATATTCAGTTTCTGTGCACAATATTTTTGCAAAAACTCCACATGGCTTATAGCATAATTCATTTATTCCCTACAAAATGATGATGTGTTCTTGCCCAAAACAATCTTTCATGCCAAACTCTCTCCTGTTATAGTCTCCTGTTTTATTCTGTTACCTTCTATATCACCTACACCTAGAAATACTATGTCTATGCCAAAAGAGTATGTACTGTATCACTCAGAAAGTAGCCAAATGAATAATTATTATTAATGTATTTTAAAAGGCCCTTAATAAATACTTGTGCAAGTTTTTAAAAAATTTTTTAAGATTCTATTTATTTTTGAGAGTGAGAGAGAGAGAGAGAGAGTGCGAGCGAGCATGAACGGGGGAGGGGCAGAGAGAGGGAGACAGAATCCCAAGCAGTCCCCAGGCTCTGAGCTGTCAGCACAGAGCCCGATACAGGGCTTGAATCTATGAACTGTGAGATCATGACCTGGGCTGAATTTGGCTGCTTATCCGACTGAGCCACCCAGGCGCACCTTTGCCTTTTTTTTTTTTTTTTTAATTAAAAATCTAAGCCTTTAAGGTAGGTTTTACAGTGACATAGTGGTTATTTTTGTTAAAGAGAGGTTTTTACGGTGTTCCGATCATGACATAACAGGGTTGGCCGCTGAGTTCTAATTTATGAAATAAAGAAAAAACTGTATTCTCAAATTTATACCCATTGAGGTACTCTCTTTTTCACTTAATTTGCAGCTAATCAAAAACAAAACAGAGAAAAAAGAGAGAGACGTGTATTAGGCTGCTAGGGTTGCCAGAACAAAGTACCACAGACAGAGGGACTTAAACAACCCAGTCTATCCCCTCCTAGTTCTGAACACCGGAAGCCCAAGATGAAAGTGTCCTCCGGACACGAGTCCTGTTGGAATAGGCCCCACCTGTATGGCCTCGATTACCCTGAACTCTCTCTCTGGAGGCCCTATCTCTACATATAGTCACCTGGGTGTTAGGACCTCCACAGATGTATTTTGGGTGGATCTAATCCAGCCTATAACAGGAGAGTGTCAAGAATTGATGTGTCTGGAGCGCCTGGGTGGCTTAGTCGGTTAAGCGTCCGACTTTCGCTTAGGTCATGATCTCGCGGTTCGTGGGTTCGAGCCCCGCGTCGGGCTCTGTGCTAACTGCCAGCTCGGAGCCCGGAGCCTGTTTCAGTCTGTGACTCCCTCTCTCTCTGACCCTCCCNAAAAAAAAAAAAAAAAAAAAAAGAATTGATGTGTCTGTAGACAGTCTCGTGTCTAAACCTTTGCAGGCAAGGCTGGAACTGTCAGAATGAGCAAGATCTTCTCCACGGGGCTCTGTTGTGTCTTTCTATCTGTCAGGCCTCAAGGCCTAAATTGTGTAGTAGGTAAACGTGAGACATTCAACTGTTTCTCTAATAATAAAATCAATTTCGCTTTTATTTGTTTCTTATCAATGTTTTGTTCTCACATTTCAGGGAAGTTCTTTTATATTATGGTGTTTTTATGAAATAGTGGTGGCCAGGTGAATTCAATTTAAATAGATAGTAACCAGTGTTAATTAGATTTCGGAAAAAGAATGACCTGGGAATCTATTTCTAACGTTTATTATCAGATAATCACTATTTATGTATTTGTAAGGATTTTTTAAGTAGAAAATAATGGAAACCTGTTTGATCAAGAAACAGAATCTACTGATTCACATACACAAGAATTCCAAAAGGTGGTTGCTTCAGGCTTGATGGGATCCAGGAGTTCAAATAAAGTCATTTAGATTCAGTATCTCTCTCTC